GAACTTCTCCAAAGTGGCTCCAAATATCACAAGCAGCAGTCCTCCCAAACCTGCTGCAACGCAAGTCCCTCCCACAGGGGAACAGTCCTCCCAAAACTGCTGTGGCATGGGTTGCTGTTCTACAGGGTGCAGTCCTCCAAGGACAGGCTGCTCCAGCTTGGAAGCAGGGCCTTCTCTCTCCACTGGGTCTCCCACTGGATCACAGCCTCCTCCAGGCATTCACCTGCTCTGGCATGGGCACCTCCCCCATGGGCTGTGGGTGGATCTCTGAACCCCCCGTGGATCCCCACGGGCTGTGGGTGGATCTCTGAATCCCCTGTGGATCCCCATGGGCTGTGGGTGGATCTCTGTGTTCCCATGGATCCCCAAGGGCTGTGGGTGGATCTCTGAACCCCCTGTGGATCCCCACAGGCTGTGGGTGGATCTCTGCATCCCCTGTGGATCCCCAAGGGCTGTGGGTGGATCTCTGAGCTCCCTGTGGATCCCCAAGGGCTGTGGGTGGATCTCTGTGTTCCCTGTGGATCCCCAAGGGCTGTGGGTGGATCTCTGCATCCCCTGTGGATCCCCAAGGGCTGTGGGTGGATCTCTGCATCCCTGTGGATCCCAATGGGATGTGGGTGGATCTCTGATCCCCCTGTGGATCCCCAAGGGCTGTGGGTGGATCTCTTCATCCTCTGTGGATTCCCAAGGGCTGCAGGGGCACAACTGCTTCACCACGGTCTCACCACAGCCTGCAGAGGAATCTCGGCTTCGGCACCTGGAGCACCTCCTCCTCCTCCTCCTCCTCCTTCTCCACTGACCTTGGTGTCTCCATGCAGTTTCCCTCACATGTTCTCACCTCCTCCTCTGGCTAGAAAAAACTGCACTTTGTTTTGTTTTCCTTCTTAAATACGTTATCACAGAGGCATTACCACTATTTCTCATTGGCCCAGCCTTGTCCAGTAGTATGTCCATCTTCAGAGCCATCAGAGATTTGCTCTGCCAGACATGGTGGAAGCTTCCAGCAGCTTCTCCCAGAAGCCACCTCTGTGCCCACCCCTTCCCAGTAATAAAACCCAGGCCATGCAAAACCAATACGCAGGCATGAAAGAGAAACAATTTCTTTAATTTCTTCAATTTACTTGTAATTCTTCGATCAAGATCTCAGTGATAGTATGTGCCCTTATAAAAAAAAGACAGAACACCCTGAAAGCAGACTTTCCTTGATGGGAAAGTATTAATTTACTTGAAACCATGATTTTCATGTGTAACAAGCAGTAATAATGTAGATATGTTTTAACAATTTGTAAAATTTTTGTTCACAAAAGTGGCACATCAGTAACATTTTTATTGTTTTTTCATAGATCATGGTTATGGTCAGGGATTTCTTCAGTGCTGTGATTCGAGGTGACTGAATTAGTCCCATATTTCTCATACAGTTTATGAGACTGTGCAAGTCTGTGCACTTTGCATAGTTAATATTTGAGGTGAAATCTCAAAGGGCAAGTAATTTGAAAAATTTCAGCGATATTGTAGGAAGTTCTTCTGTACATACTTGCGTCTGTATCCATTTACATGGAGGACTGTATAACTATAAAAAATCTTGGAATGCTACTTCCTGTTACTGAGTGTCTTGATTTAAATATTCATGGTTCTGCATGTGTGGTTTGTATTTTTAGTTTGTTTATTTCTTTCTCATTGGATGTCAGAATTTCTGAGTAAGAGGCTGGAAACCAAAACTATTGCTGCTTTTCTTTATTCTCCTGGAGAATGTCACCTACCTACACAGTACCCTTAATGGAAATCAAACGTTCTGGGGTAGGACAGGTAAGGTCCAATCTCATTCATTTACATCCATCCATATGGATCCACATACATATACAATCTATCCATTGTATCCACAATATATACATCCAATGTACACAGTTGCTCCGTGGAAGTTAGTATCTGGTACCTCCGACTGTTCTTTTCCTGCTTTGTTGAAGTTTTGATTAAACAGTGGACTTCCCTATTTAGTTTTTGAATTTATTATATTACAAATGGTGGGGAACAGCTTGTTAAGTCAGTATAGAAAGAGAGAGGTTAACTGGATCCTAGGTTTCTTTAGAAACTGGTTTTTTTTGGGTCTGCACAATCTTTGCAGAGGATTTGATAGTTGCTGTAACCGTGCAGTTTTTTTTGGGTCTGCACAATCTTTGCAGAGGATTTGATAGTTGCTGTAACCGTGCAGTCAGGAAGGTTTGTATGTAATGTCTCCTAAACAGCACAGCTGATGAAGTATATTGCTGCAGTATAGAGATGTGGTAGTACAGCTTTTATTCCTTTTTACCTTTCATTTTCATTAGCATAATGCACTGTGAAATTGAATGTGAAACTTAGAAGCATACCAGTACTACCTGCTGAAGGAATAAATGCCGTCAGATATGTGAAACTCTTCTGAGGATGAGAAAAGAAGCAGATCCATTCCGATGAATTAGTTAAATCAGGCTTTTTACATTTTTCAACTGGCGCTCGTGGCTGCAGCTGAGCCTTTTAGGCTCTGCTGGCTGTGAACAATGGAGTTGCAGATTTATTTTTTTTCCCTCTTAAAAAAGCAAGTTAACTGATGCTTGGTATTTGCGATAATTTTGGCCCCTCCTACTGTACCAATTGAAACCACTCCCTACATAACCAAAACAAATCGTTCCCCATCATTCTGAGGGTATTTTACATTTCAGGACAAGCTTTTGTGCACTGAACTGCATTTTATAGATAGTACCTTTTAAAAAAAGGAAAGTAATTTTTTAGGAGATAGATAAGAAAAACTCAAACAGCACCTCATTTTCAGAGCTCAGAAGCACAGGAAAATGAATCTTGAAGCAATAACTTGCTTTAATTTTAAATACTGTAATATATAATCTAATAATTGTTTTCATATTTATTTCTGTTTTCCATTAGAAAATCCAATAGGTAGAACATTTAAATTGCTGTTAAAAGTATATCAGATTATATATTTATGAATTTAAAACTTATTAATCTCAATTCATACCACAGACTTCAGATCTGATCTTTGACTAGCTTGTTATAGTGTTGAGTAAATTTTAGCACAGGGCTTATTGTACTTATATGTGTTCAGGTTCTGTACTTTTTATTTCAACTGTGCCTTCTTTCATGGCTTGGATGACTTATATTTCCCATTGGTTTGATGAAGATGATTGGTATGAAGGACAACAAAGAGTAAGAATTGCTTAAAGTAATATTTTCTCTTTTACTACTTCTATATTTTTCTCCTTTAAGATGCTCTTTATTATTATATTGATAGTAGTATTTCTATAGTGGTACTAAAAAGAGATTTGTATTAGTTTTAGTGAGGTCTTGAATCATAAATAAGTCATATCCAAAATGTGGATTTTGAAAATTAATTTTGCTAGCTGGATAAAAGGTACTATAACTGTGACAACCACCTACTTGCATTTTTTAGGTTACATAATTTAAGAAGTAATAATTTTTTAATATGCAATGAGATGGAAAGCAAACATTTCATCATATTAGAAGGCATTAATATACCATGCGTGGCATAAAATAGTAATAGTAATAGGGTGAAACAGAAATATTTGGGAGATATTAAATTACCTAGGGTCATTTCCAAGTTGTATCTTGGATAGCTTTATGTTTTTATTAACATTTTTCTGAGGAGGAGTTGTTACTATAGCAACATTTGCAGGATAACTTGGAATTTTTTTTTTAGCATTTATTAGCTGCATGTCTAAGCTGCTTTCATAGATTTATGGTGGGAAATGAATTTAAGTCACATTTCTTTCATTGTATTAAGCTCTCTTATGGTACCTCATATTTCTGTGATTTCTTTTTCTTGTTTTCACAATATATGGTCAGTTAATGAATTAGAATGTGGGAGATGCTACTGAAAGCAGTTGCTTTCATTGTATTATTGTGTATTACTCGATAATGCCTGCTATATACTCTTAAGTATAAAAAACTGGCAGGTATTAATACTGTTCCACTGTTCTCATTTTACGTGTCAATAATGATATGGATGTTTCAGATGTAGAATTACCTTTTAATAGCTGTCATTCAGGGATTCAGATGTGAGATCTTTCAAGAGGTAACTTTATCTGAAATCAGACCAGTCTTGGCAATTTGCCAGCAGAAGAGCAATCTTCTGGTGATTGTTGTAGCTCTGGACTGGAAAATGAGAAGATAAATTTATGCAGTCTTGGATGCTTCATGCTGTGATCAGACATGGTTGTATACGTATCTCTGTGTATTAGACACATTGTCTGCAAACTATGATTGAGAAATGGCTCCACAGATAATGGCTTTGTTATCACTGCTAGAGGGTTTCATATTGATTAGGTGTGTAGTCCAACATTGCTGGTGATATATTGTTAGAAATGTTAGTATTTCTCCATGCTTGGTTTCAAACCTAGTATGGCTCTTTAGATTATCTTGTTAAAGTTGCACAATAAAGGATATTCTAGTTAAATGTACAAGTAGTATAGTCAAGACAGTCAAAATCACTACTTTGTGAGACTTACTATGTTATGATTCTTTTAATGTTATTGCCTTCTAAGCAATGTTTTCTAAGTATGGTATCTATCTTGGATTAATATATTTGGGTTTTATTTTGAGCATTTGTTTCTGTAAATCTCAGGCTGTGATTTCAAGTTTCAAACTTTAGGGAAAGGTCCACAACTTCTTCCCTTGTGAAGCCAGAGGTCCTGTGGTCAAATCAGTTCTGGTAGTGATTTGGATCCAAATTTATTATAGAGGTTTAAAATGTCTGTGAACACTAGCAGAACACTTGTTCATTTCAAATAATATTTTAAATCAGACTGTTCTTTTCCTGGTCAATGTCTGGATAAGTGAATGCACATTTTGAACACTTGCTAGGTTGTCATAGGTTAGGAAATGTCATCTGCAAATTCTGGTTGCAAAAGTCTAGCCAAAGCTTCTGGTATTTTTGAGGAATCTTGTTGAAATTCAGTCTTGTCCAAGGCACCCTCTTCCTGACTATGGTTAGCCTTCTGATTATCTGGGGGAGCTATACATGGCCTGTGTACCATGAATTGTATACAAAATGAGAAAAAACTCATTCAATTTTTGCTGTCTATACTGATTAGTGGTAAACTAGCAACCAGCCTAGTATTTTAATAAACAAAGTACATGTGCAAACCTACATAGTCTGCATTCTTCTACATTGTGACTGTCACTGCTATTATAGTCAGGCTTTATTTTTTGCTTAGAAGCAGTTGCTAGTGTGTATTGTCTCAGACTATTCCGAGACCTGCATTAGTAACTGCAATTTAGTAAGCCATGTCAAGACTGAAAATTCATTAGCACTTTGTGGTACTTCAAAGTAGGAAGAACTTTTGTTTGTTTTGTCAAAGTTTTCATATTGTAAGTTGTCTATTGGCTTTTAAGCTGCATATATACCACAGTATTTCTGATTACCCTTTATTTCATAGGTCTGGACAAATTAATATGAACTTAATTTCTTAACATGGCTATAATGTGCTTGGTGTTTCCCAGCCCCACTGGAAGAACACCAGTGCTAATTATATTTATGCTTTTACATGAGTCTCAGTGCTATTGAGGCATTCAGTCAGAAGTAATTTTCAGTCTTGCAGACATACTAAGTTTTCTTCATAAGTTTGAAGACATTCGTGCTTTCAGAAAGATAAAATGATTGTCCATTATCTGGTGCTTTTCACTGGTCCCACTGCATAGGGTAATGAATTTGAAACTCTGTGGTTTACAGATGACATTTTCATCTCTAATTATTTCCTTCCAAAGATGGGTTAGTATACCCCATGTCTTTAAGAAGATATAATGTGATGTAATATCTTTGTATCACTGAAGAGCTTATTAATTATTATGTTATCATTGATTTGCTGACAAAAATATGTCCTTGGGACAGTAGTCTGGTTGAGATATAACAGTTTTATATTTCAAACATACAGGAGTGACAGCAAGCTTTCCACATAAGATACAAACCTTATGGGAAGATAATGACAATAGAGTGAACAGAAACAGAGGGCACTTTACTGCTTGTAGCTGTTAAGAAACTACACTTTGTATACACAGAAGCACACTGATTAACATAAGGCTACTGTATATCTGCTTCTGTATGCATGCCATATTGCATATGGACTCATTTGCTTAAGTCATACACCACGTGGACCACAATCAGAGCACATGTGAACATCTGTTGTTGCTTGTGCTTGATGGTTATGCATTTGTGGATATTGATAACATACACTGTATTGATAATGAAAGTATTAAGTGATGGGTTTAAAGAGCTATTATTATTCTGCAAGTGTTATTGTAGTGCAATTGGGAAATACAGAGAGCAATGAAATACACTGAGGAGGTGAAGCAGAGAAAAAGGAGTTAGATTAAAATTAAAATGTTGCCTGTTAAAGAGCTGCAGTTGCCAGGCTACTAACACTGCAGTTTTGTGTGGTGTGACACAACACTCAGTCTTTTCTCCTGCATCCTGTAGTAACTGCATTATTCTGTGAACATCAAGGTTTAGTTCCTCCATCTGTCAAGTAAAGTGATTTCATTCTACAATCAGAACAATATTTTCTATTTTTGGGACCAGCAAGGTATTGGAATGAACATGGGAATTCCAGAGTGCTTTGCAAAAAATGATACCTATGCTAAGGTAGGGATTATTAGGCATTTATCTTTAAGTTATTGATATAAAGCCATGGTATGTACCTAGTCAATTCAGTTGTTATTTTAAAATAATATTTATGATATACCAAATTTCAGTTTAATGTGTTTGGTTGTTGGGGTTTTTTTCTATATTAAGCAACAAGGAAGGACCTAGAATGTTGTTGCTTCTGCCAATTGAAAAGAAAGGCTTTGTTGTCCTCCCTCTTTCCTTCATCTCCTTGGAAACTGTGAGCACACACTGCTAGCTTTCCCAATTTGGTATACGCTTTTTACATGCACAGGGTTTTTTTTTCATTGTAGACTTAAGAGTCCAGTATAATTACTTCTATGTCCCTTATTTCAAAATAAAATGCTTTTTTACAAAGTATAAAAAAATCTCTATTGTATAAAAATGCAGGTGTGAAAACATACGTATTTTCAGTAATGCTGCATTTTTACCTTTTTGTCATTTTTCTCAGGCTGTTCTGATGAATACATCTTTCTCTTTTATACTCTGTTTACTCTGTTAAATATGCTTAACAGAAATCTATAATGTTTGAAAAGATCTGCAGGAAACTGCTTTAATACATGATACCTACAAGAGAGCAAGTCAGTATACCACACAACCACATTTCTTCTTCTAGATAGTGTCAAACTGAATTTCAAGGCAAATGCTTCCTCTTGTCAAGTGGTATATCATTACAAAGAGCAGGAAATAATAACATCTTAAAACAATAAGAATTAGTAAATAAAATGCAAATTCTTTTCTGTAATAAAGCTCAGAATATTTTATGTATGTAACTTTTTCTATATAAATAGGGAAAATCTAGTCAAAGTGTAAGCATGAATTCTTAACTCAGTGAAATAACAATATATTACAGAGCAACATTTTTCATCTAAAATTGGAAAAATTCAACTATTAGCAGCATTTTTATAGTGATTACTGCAGAATCTTACAAGATAAATCTGTTGTTATTCTGAAAGAAAAATCCATGGAATTCTGTTTTAGCATCTGTTAGAGATCTTAGATTTATGATTAATTTTACCTGTAATCAAACTGCAAATTAAACAAGACTTAAGTCATATTTTCTTACAGACTAAAACTTCAGCAAATCAGGAATTCTTAGCTCCCATATAAGAAGGTAAAAAAAAAAAAAAAAATTATCTGTACAAAGAGGGAAAAATCTTTTATTATTATGAAGTAAATAGTTGTGTAGTCTTAGGTTTTAAATATTTATCAACTTTTTATCAATCATACATTGATGGTTTTCAGGTGGTAAACCTGGAAACTAAACCTATGATAATCTAATAGTTTACATCTAATTCTCTCCTACTTCACCGTGGCTTTTTTAACGTTCCTTAACAGTTTGCTGACACACCTAGAGTTTTAACCATTGTTTTCCCTGGAATCAAGAACAGAATCCAAAATTTCTTGTTCCAGGTATTCTGTGCTTTCATAAAATAATTATCTAATCAGCTGAGGAATATTAATTTCAGAAAAAGTGATTGTTGGTGGTGCCAGTTACTTTTTTCATCTGAACTAGAAGTCTGTTTTGAATGACCCAAATCCAATTATTTCTCTGCATATGTGATTTACAGTTTAATTGCACAGAAGAGACCTCTGCGATTTGTAATTTTACTGAACAGTAAAGAACACTAAATGGCAAAATTAGAAATTTGGAGGCTATTTTTGCCTCTTCATGATGTTGATTCTTTAAATAATTAGATCAATTTCTCTCTGGGGGGACTCATATCATTTAGAATATGAGATGGATTGCAAAGGAGCTGCAAGATGATGCAATTTATAGAAATGTTCTCTCTGGAATCTCTGATTTGCTGCAGAAGTTGAAAGAATTACTATTATGGACAGACAGAAAGGAAGTCCAAGAGCCAAAGCACTAGTCTGTAACAACTGTATCTTGTAACTTGTATATTTCTCTTCTGCTTTTGCAGTCTCTTTTACCAGAATTTTCAAAGGTTACATGTGAGCATTTAATTCCCTTCAGTCATTTAGTACTCAGAATGTTTAAACACTTTAACTAGGGTCAGTGATATCTTTAAGATGATCAGTCTCAAATATTCAACTGATCTTCTGCTGAAGAAGCCCCCAAAATAAGTTGCTTAAATTTTTTTCTTTTTCTTTCATACCTTTCAAGGTGAGAGAAACATTGTTATATCTGTAATTATTCATTACTGTTTACCTGTCAAGCAGATAGAGCAAAAAGAGGAGAAAAATTAAAAATAAAATTAATAATTCAACTTTATTTTTATCCCTTGTATAAATATATTAAAATAAAATTTTAATATTAATTAGGCAACCAGTTTTTAGTTAATAGTGACCATTAGGCTCCTTTGGGTATTACAGATCACAACTGCAGAACTTGTATAAAGTTTTTTCTGTACGTGCCTTAATACTACTGTCATCCAGAAAATATTTCCCCTTCTATATATTTAATATCAAGTAGGTCAAGACTGATCTACAGCAACATCTGTGCTAAACTGTTACACAGCAGTGCATTGCATAACCAGTCCTTGTGCTTCATCAACTGTTGCTCCCTCAAAATACTTGATTGCTTTTTAAGTCTCATTTCTCACTAATTCCCTTTCCTTTGTGGAGTTTGAAATGGTACCTAGTACTTGGTAAATTTAAAATGGCTCTCCCCTTTCAGGATTATAGTCTTACCTCTTTGACCTAAAGATGTCATCCTCCATATTCTATGTAATATTTTTCCACCTAATATCCCTCAGTCTATTATCTGTCCACAGCATAAATGTGACCCTGAGACATTCTGTTACTAGGCATCATGTTGACATCCAGAATGAAATGGGTGCTAGGTAAATAATTGGTCTGGCCCAGCAAAGCATTTCTTGCATTTTTATGTTGAAGTCAATTTTCTCACTCTGAGTACAGCTGGGACTGTGGGACTTGGTTTGGACACAGAAAGAATAGTTTGCTGTACAGTATTATTACCCTAAGATTTGCTTTTGTTTTTTCATAGCTCACCTCAACTTCTTTTTGTTAAGCAGTAATTATTAAGAAAATTTAGAAATTTTCTACTGAAAGGATGTTAATAAGAAGGATATTATGATAGCGTTGATCTATGCAAGTGGTTTGAAGATCTTTCTAAATGTTTTTTTTTACTTAAAACTATTAGAATATGGTTTATTTTGTCTGGGTGTCAGTGGGAGATGAATGGGAGAGCAGAGAAGGCATTAAACTGTAATAGAGAAAGTATTGAACCAGACTGTGGAAGAAAATGAACATGATGAACAGTTTCAGCTAGTACAAGTCAAGAACTATTCAAGTTTTTATGGGCTGCCTCCCTGGCTCCCTTTTCTTCCAAATGGATTGGTGTGAATGGTATAAGGCACCCTTTTTTGTGTGGCACTGAAGCCTCTGAACATCTACTTGTCTTTATTTCAGATACATTCATTTGTACCTCAGGCAAGTTATGTTTTTAAAGCAGACATATAAATTACTTATGGGAACAAAAATGTATTATTCTGTTCTTTAATATTCTGTCATCCTGGAGTCTAATGAATTTCTGTTTTAAAGGCAAAAATGTCACATGTGAAACAAGTGGGACTTTTAGCTGCTGGATGTCAGCCATGGAACAAGGATATATGTGCTGCTAGTGGGGACAGATTTGCCTACTGTGCTACCCTTGCTGTTTATATTTATCAGGTAAGATTATTTTTGTTTAGCAGATTAGTTACACTTTTACATTGCTGTTGATCTCACTTTGATCCCTTTCAACAAATGTTTCTGCAATGTTTGGAAGTATGGTTGCTGCTGAGAAGATGTCTATGTAAAGCTCAATATTCCATTCAAGATACCTCTGAAATTGTATGTGTCAAGAATTATTTTTAGAAGATGGACTTACAGTGCAGCAAACATTTGAGATGAGTGAGGTTCAGTGATAAAAGACTGGGTTCTGAGGGAGAAATGAAGAAATTCCACAATTCCATTTGATGCTGTAGTATAATGAAGTCTTTTGCATAGTGGATTAAAATGGTTCAAAGCTGAGGATTCAGTGACCCACCTTTATTTAATTTGGATCCTAAACTCCTCAGCACTGTTGTCTTCTGAATTTTGCAGCTGCTGTGCATCTAAAAAATCAAAATGCTTTGACATAGAATTTTCAGATTGAGAAATATGCGAGGAAATAAAGAATGTACTTAATTTTAAGAGTTATACTGGTAGTAGGATTAAAATGAACAAAATTTACTGTGTTATGTCTGTGCTTTTTATTTTTTATATATATTTTAACTAACTAATTTTAAAAAAGAGAAGGATTTCAAACTCATTTTTATATTCTGCCCTGTTTATCGGAGATTACCAAATGATTGTTACTATGCCTATAAATAAAGCATTTTAGGATTGCTTGAGTACATTTCTAACTGAAATACAATAATTTTTAAGTGACAGGAAGATAGACATGAAACAGTTTTTCAGATAGTTGGGTACCTGGCACCTTTCTTTCCAAGTCAAATGTATGAGAATTTATTTTATTGAGATGTGAGGTACTGGCAATAGTTAAATGCACTATAAATTCATCCATAAGTCTAATACTGCTATATGAAATATTCTCCAGCCAAGAAGTATTTAAAGTAAGTTTACAAAAAATGTATTTCTAACATTAATTTTGCTATTTGTTTAGCTGGATCACCGATACAATGAATTCAAGCTCCATGCTATTATGTCTGAGCATAAGAAGACAATCACAGCCATATCTTGGTGTCCTCACAACCCTGACGTGTTTGCAAGTGCCAGTGCAGATAGTTTAGTGATCATCTGGAATGTGAATGAACAGAAAGTTGTGGCCAAGCTGGACAATACAAAAGGTATTTTAGACATGGAGATCTGTTTTATCCATACAGCATGATCCATGGGTATGAGAAATACTTGATACAGTGTAAACTCTATAGTTGGTAGGCTGGAGTTTTAACAATTGCCTAACACAATATTTATGTCAGATTTGTTGTAGTTTATTCTAGAAAATAATGATAGTGTGTTGGAGTAAATTGCTGTCAACCATCTTGTATTTGGTAAAGAAAGACATTATTCTTTTTCTCTAAAGAAGTTGACCAGTTCAAGAATTAACTTTGATAGTGATTTCTTATTGAGCAGGGGAGGAAAAAAACCCCAAAACCAACATTATTTTCATCACTGTATAAAAGGACAAATAACTGAATTTTAAAACAATAAATTTCACGATGACTTTAGCTAAGTGAAAGCAAATAAACGGTAGCCTTAACAGATTCAGGTTTAAATCATCAGTGAATTTGTAGAGTTTTTGTCTACCTGAATCTTGTCTCAGGCCTTGAAACTGCTGGAGATTTTATTACAAGTCTAGAGGGTTAAGCATCAGTGTTACAGTTACATTTCCCTGCCCAGTTCTGATTTATGCCATTTAGTCAAAACCTGTATTTCTGTTCTTACAGTCAATCTCATCAGGTGTCCTTGACTCCTGCATTTTCATTCTTGGAAAGTGAGTGCGACCCAAGAACAGTCAAGGATCTCAGGATCTAATAAGCTATTTTGGGACTCCCCATTCTAGTCTCTCCAGAGCATTTAGGGATACCTCTGGAAATCTTTTGCATCTTGTATATCACACAAAAGAAATCCAAAAAATATCCACAGTGATTTAATCTATTGTAAAATAAATATTTTATCAGTTCATGCATGAATATACATGCTGGTACTTATTTTTTAATGCATTACCTTTTTAAAAATCTACTTCAGCCAATGACTACACATGAAAGAAGTGTTGTTACTAATATTTTAATAATTTTAGAAACTAGTTTAAGATACTATGTTTAAGCCTTCTATTGATTTCACTTTTAGTCCCTTTTACACTGCCATATAAAAGTGTCTAAATACAGGTTTAAGTTTGCAGCTTGAGGAATTTGTCTCACTGTAGTTTATTCCTTCAAGCACACATTATTAACTCATGAGGATGATGAAGGTTGGAGATATTAAGATCAAAATTCTTAAACTGCCTACAATTAGGTATTAGACAACTGAATTAAAACTGTCATGTATTCAGAAGGAAGCTAGCAAGAGTTTCCTTTTATTACAGAGCTAGCTTTCAAATTTTGTCACAAATATCTACTTCTGTTAGATTTATCTCTAAATTTCATTGTATGAAAAATGCATTTTGAAATTCTCAGTATTTTATTATCTTAGTAACAAATAACTTACAGTAAAACAGTAGTGAATGAAATTCTGAATGAATGAAAGTATTGTTTGCAGGATCAGGCTTATCCTCTTTCAAATGTGTGATTGTGTTTGGCTCTGATGAAGTGTAGATATTATGAAATACGGCTCATTAAAGTAGCATAAATGTAATTTGGGAAATAGTTTTACTTTCTGCCAATGGAAATCTGTAGTTCACTCTTACTCCATAAGATGTTCACACAGTTCTCTAAATTTCAATCTAGCAATTTTTATGTAGAACAATTATTTGTATTGTTTTTCAAGACAATTGCTGATACTGGGTCAAGGAATACTACACTGGATTTCGTATCCTGGTTCTTACAAGGTTTACCTGTATGTTTCAGGAATTCCTGCGTCCCTTGGCTGGTGCTGGAATGCAGGTGATGCAGTAGCATTTGTGTCCCACAGGGGTCCACTGTACATTTGGACCATCTCAGGACCTGACAGCGGAGTAACTGTGCATAGAGAAGCACATAGTTTCTTGTCAGATATCAGTCTGTTTAGATGGCATCCAAAGAAAAAAGGAAAGGTGGTATTTGGGCATACTGATGGAAGCCTATCTATTTTTCAACCAGGTAAAACCCATATAGCAAAATATTTAGTTTTATATATGTATCTCTTGTTTCTCCATATGCATGTAATTCTGCACAATTTGTTCTTGATTCATAATACTCCTATTCCTTCCCTATCACAAAAATATGTTTTCTTAAATAAAGAATTCAGAGCATTTTCTTTATGTCTCCTCCCTTTTTGTGACCAAGATAGGACTGCAATTTTTTGACAACTTCAATAAACACTTTTTTTCTGAGAATGGTAACAGCCACCATCTTCTACTGAACTATATTTTCCTGTAAGTTTATTCTTCTGAATGGAAAGAATTGAGTCTTTTTTTTTTAGCTTTCCTACTTTTGCATTTGTTCTGGAGACCTCTTTTTCATGTTCTATAATCCTCTGCAATTTTATAGGTAGAATCTCAAGTCACAATATTATCTTCATGGTTCTGTTCTGTCAAAGGATAGATGGGAAAATATTTACCTCTTTTTGTCTGAAATCCACCACACACATTTGTGCATACTTTATAAATAGTCTAGTTCTCTGCTAAGAAGATGTCATGTTGATAAGCTCATTTGAACATAAAATTTCACTTGTTTTCATAGTTTTCTTCAAAGGCAGGTATCTGTATTAGGTCGACTATTTAAATTTTTTCCTGACCGCTTCTTCTTTCTTGAATAAAAATTGATTTTCAACTTTGTGAGAAAAGCTGTTCTTTAAATAATGTGCTAATTTTACATAGTTTCCATGTGCCATGTTGTTTCCGTGTTTGTTTCCTTCAGTTCACTCTACTAAGTTGTCACACAGGATGTCACAGAGAAAAGATTGCCTTGCCTCTGTAGTGCTGGCTGAATTAACACTGGCATTGGGAAAAGGAAATAAATTTTAATATGATAATATCTAGGTATTTATCAGACTGAGACTTTTCATGAAGTCTGTCTAGAATAATTTGAATATGAAAACAGAAATAATAAGAAAAATATTTAAAATATCAAAATTATGTTCTGCAAATGAAAATATAATAAAGGCTAAAAAAATCTAGTCAGTGGCAGTTTTGTACGTACCACAGTTCAAGTTGCAGTAAAAAAATTGTTTAAGGAAAATTATCCATTACTTTTGGGGATAAAACTATTTTCATCAACTCAGAATTTAGATTAGATTATCACATGAATGCTGCCTTTCTCTATATTTAGGATAGTTTTCTTTATTATTGTAATATTAGACATCTTTATTAAAATAATTTTAAAATTAAAACAAAAAAATACAAGTTGTGTCCTGTTCTCAGCATAAGATTCTTCATTTCCAACAGAGAAATAAAATTTGAAATTTTATATGCAGCTGGGTGAAAATTTTCTGCATAAGTAGTAGACTACACAATTTTTTTTTCACTGTTGTTATCTACTTAGTTTTTTCTCCTGTGGCTGTATTTTCTTTTTTATTTATTCTAGACTATGCATTAATGCATCAGAACATTTAGTGTAAAGAAAATATACACAAGAATATAAGATACATACCAAATTTTTAGGGAGATTCAATGCAGTCATATAGAGCCAAATATTTTCCCTTGCATTTGTTCTCAAAATAAGCACAGCTGACTTATATGACCTGTGACTCAGTTGCATGATTCATACTATTCATGTCTTCTTTTAACAGAAAACAAAATTTAACAGTTGGGTTTTCATGAGGTTTGCCTGCCTTTTTTTTTTTTTTAAACACTAGTAAAACTGAATGGCTGCTAGATACATAAAGTCTAGCACTCTCCCACCAGGTGGATGGGGCTGAAGTGTTTGAATATGGATGGCTTCAGTCACGTTTTGCTTTTAGTCCTTGTCTAACTAACTGAAAAATGACAGTTCTGCTTGGTTGTCTTTTTTTTCCATTTCAGTGTTGATTTGCAGTAAAACAAAAAGGTGAGCTGTGATGTAAGCAGGGGACATTGTTTAAAAAAGTGGGAGTTCTCAAGTTTTTGGCAAATGAAAGCAATTATCATAGTTCTGCTGTTATTTTCAATGCTTCAGAAGAGTGAAAAAAGCAAAAAGGAATTGAAAAATTGGTTTATGCTGTTAATTGTTGTGCAGTCTTAAATTATTTCTCCCATTTCTGGTACCTGATTTTATAAAGTTGCCCTAGATGTAATGTGTATGAACCAGTACTAAAATTGAAAATTAGATAGAAGCTGAATAATGGAAGGTATCAATTCCTTATTTCTAGAAAAGCAGTAAATTTTTTAATTATTTTTCTTTATATCACAACTTCAAAAATAAAGATCTATTTCATTTTGAGTGTACACTGTCTTATAAAACTTAGATTCACCTCTGTAAAAAATAAAAAAGTAGAAGATAAATATGATATTAAGAAAAATGTGGGTGCTGATAATATGGATCATGAAATGAAATATGTTTTTTGTAGGTGTCAGACTAGATACTTCTTGGTCGATTTTGAATACAGAATCTATAAGCACTTAGTAGCTGCAAACATAGTTTTAAAGAAGAAAAAAAGTCTAAAGGCAGTTGTTCATAAAAAGCCTTTACTGCCACAGGGTTTTTCTGGTTCATATTGCCTTTATTTTGTGTGTATTTGCTGTGGTGTCCAGATTTACTTACACTCAAATGACTTGTATTTTATGCTGTGCTGCAGATATTTACTCACAAAAATTCTTAGAACAATGTACATGTTCTGGCATACTTTCCTTTCTTATAAAATTATATTTATAAAGCAGCCAGCCTGTAAACATAAATTCGAATCTGATTGAAAAAGAAATACTCTAAGTCAAATATTGCAAAGATAGCTTCATCAATTTCACTGCTGCAAACAATAGAGCAGGCTAGTGAAAATTTCAGGGAGAGAGGAAAATAGTGTTTGCCAGCCTTGTAACTATTGAAAGGATATATCTGATTTATTTTTTAAATAACTTGTTTTCTTGTGCACTTTAAAGGTTCTAAAAACCAGAAACATGTCTTAAGACCGGAGTCTCTTGAAGGAACAGCTGGAATGTTTATAACTGGAGGTAAGGCTTTTATTTCCTGATTTATACAAAGATAAATACAGCACCGAGTCTTCAAAATTGACACTCCAAGTTAGATTTTTCTGGTTTTATAATATTTTTGCAAGTAGAAGCATACATGAATTGTACAAAAAAAAAAGACCATAACAAAAAAATGGAAAATAATAAAACTACACTTGGCAGTTTTTACATGTTTTAAAGATTTTTGCTACATAAATATATTAGAAAATAATAAAACTACACTTGGCAGTTTTTACATGTTTTAAAGATTTTTGCTACATAAATATATTACTTTGTACAATTTTTTTGTGCTAAATAATATTTTCCTCATGCACCCTTTAGCAAAAAAAACATATTCCTTTTGGAGTAGGAATAAAAAGGCATTGTACTAATTGATGCCACTTCAAAGATTAAAAAAATTAAAAGAAGAGAAGAATCTATTTCCTTCCTCTTTTCTACACCATAGACATTACAGCTCAGGTTGAACTAATGAATAAGGAAACTAAGACCGGCAAAATATCTTATAATGAGAGAGGTTCCATAGAATTACTCTGTGTTTAAATAGCTAATGCTAATAATGTTTATTGTTAATAGTGATATGGCCACAGTGGTGAATGGAAAATAAATAGGATGCCATGGATGTTACACTAGATGATCTCCAGAGGTCCCCTCTATCCCTAACTATTCTGTAATTCTATGGAGTTGACAGTGCCTGCTTATAAAATTATTCTTAGGACTTGAAGTTTAATTCACTGCTGTAATTTTGTATAAATCAGTCCTCAAACCACGTATCTCTGTGTCTTGTTTTGTTTTTTTAAACCTCAGATTCTCAGGTTGGTGTGTTACGTGTTTGGAATGTTTCACGTACAACACCTATAGATAATTTTAAATTGAAGCAAACTGGTTTCCATGGCTTGCATGTGCTAACTTCTCCTCCAAAGAAAAAGTGTAAGTGTAATTTTGATTGTTATTCATTGCAATGGTTGCAACTTAAGAAAATCTTATTTATGAGTCTTGTTATGTCCAGATCAATCTCTGTAGGGTTGGTCAGCTATTTAGTTCTTAATTACAGTGCCTTCTGCTGCTACTGGATTAGACAAATACATAAAGGATCAAGTACTTTTTAAGGTCCTTCTTTAGTAGACCAGGCTTCATAAGAAATTCTCCATTTCTTTTGATTTAAAACTCATTAGAATACAAAAATTTTACTCTTTAGAATTTTAATTATTGAAATAAGAAATAATCTTCTCTCTTTGTCTTTTGCTTTATATTGTTTAGCATGTTCATCACAGTATCCTACTAAAAATCACCATATATCTTCAACAAGTGAGGCTGTTCCTCCTCCAACTTTAACCCAAAACCAAGCATTTTCGCTTCCTCCTGGTCATACCGTCTGTTGCTTCATGGATGGTGGAGTGGGGCTTTATGACATGGGAGCCAAAAAGTGGGATTTCCTTAGAGAGTTGGTATGGTTCATCTCTGTCTTTGAATAGAGAGTTTATTTGGCTAATGCACTTCTAACAGCAAAAAACTGGAGAATGAAGTTTTTGTAGTACTGTAAAGCAGTTTCTATTGTTAAAGAGTCTAAATTTCTAGGAAACAAAATGACAGTTCTGAAGTTTAAAGCAATCTTTTATTGGAAATTACTGAATTTTGTTGAAAGTATCCTGATGGTTTGTTTTAAACCAGAAATAACGATTTAAGGACTTGTTTTTTGTTTGTTTATTTTTTTTAACTGAAATTTTAGTTTAATGGCTTTTCAGAATTTTTTTCTAGTGGGCTTTCTATAATTCAGAATAAAAGTTTGAATCAAATCAGAGAGCTATATGATGAATGCACTCAGTTTAACATTACAAAGACTAAATTATTAAATTTTCTTTGAAGCTGAAATTCAGAAATGGGTTTAACACAGATTACCCTACTCTTCACTAGACTTTTGGTTATTGAGGTTCTTAAAGATATTTCTCTTTTACTCTTTCCAAGTTCCCTTTTCACTGAAAAAAACCCAAACAAATAAAATCCAAATAATTTTCAGCTGTACTCCTACATGCATTTGAATAGAGGCTGCTGGTTTGTTTTCTCTTTCCATTTTCATTAGATTTGGTCCTGTAAAGCAACTGAGGTTGGAAAAAATTCTTACATAATACCTGTGTTTCATATATTTGAGGACTTAAATTCTACAAATGCATGTCTTTGGAAACAACCAATTGATACTTGAAATCTCTAATGGATTGAAGTTTAAACTGTAATAGAGCTTAGTCTGTATCTAGAAACACAGACTATTCCGTGGGGTAGTAGACAACTTGTAGAACATGTTCGACATACAGAGCATTATTTTTTCAGTCTTTTTACCAAAAGTGAAAAACTGTTTCTGTTTTAAAAAATTTAAATTTGGTGGGGTTTTTTGCTTAGTTTTTTTAATGCAATTTTTTAGCAACATAGTCCCAACAGAAAATGCTAATAAGTTCCTGGCATTGCATACTCTGTGGTTTCAGGAACTAATTTTTCTGGTTTTAATAATAATCTATGAAAGAGCATGTTATAGTCCAGGTTATTTTTTGCCTTTTAATTTGACTGATAAGCCTAAATATAAAGGAGTTTTGGAACTCTTAATTGACCTGACATGTAAATGAAATACAATGTATTTTAGAGTTTGATCTAGAGTTTGACTTATGAAAAAATCAAATGTAATAAAAATGGATTAAATATTTGTTTCATTTAAGGGACATGTTGAGACCATCTTTGATTGCAAATTCAAACCTGATAACCCTGATCTTCTTGCTACAGCTTCATTTGATGGCACAATAAAAGTTTGGGACATAAATACTTTATCAGCGGTTTATACATCTCCTGGTAATGAGGGGGTTATTTATTCCATTTCTTGGGCCCCAGGTAAGAATATCCTGCTGTATGTCTAAATGTTCTTTGAATTAGCATTGACTGCAGAATTTGTGATATAAAAGTATTAGTTTTATATAGAAAGGCATCTTACAAAGTTTAAACAAAACTTAATTACCTGTGAAACCAGCAGAATTCAATGCTTCAGACCTTGCTGAAGCTTACCCTTCTGAGTAATGCTCCCAGTATTTCATTCTCAGAATGGAGGGAGGAAGATCTCTGGGACATTTCTAACATGGCACTGCGCAGATGACATAATGTTGTGCTTTGCATGAGAAGCAGTAGCTTGAAGGAATTCAGATTATATTTTGTGATTAAATAGTGGAACATGTGTATTTAGCTGTTTTTCTTCCTTCTTTGTGTAGGAGTCTAATCACTAAAGAATTCTAACCTTATTAGAATAGGAGGTGTCTTTTCTGCAAAGCATTACTTTTTCTTAGACAAATCAGTGGAGGCACTGGGAAATTTTGTTTTCCAAACTGTTCTGTAACCCTCTTTGGTGTACCTAAAAATACACTTTTGACAGTTGTCAATAGTTGACAGTAGATTGTCTTCCTTTTTGTGTTTCATTTCTTTGGACAGCAGATGTATTTTTTAAAAAAATCTAAATAATTCATTTCTCTGTTCTCACCTGCACTTTTAAAGTCTTAAGAAATAATAACTGACAGGAAAAAAAATTGTGGTGGGAAGCTTAATGTGGTCTGCATATGTGAAATAATTTTGCACTTTTTCCTTTCAGAGAGTCTCTTGCATCTTACACCTCTTCACAAATAATTTGTCTTGCTATATGGAAATACAGTGCTTATGCTTGTTTGTTTAGTTTTGAGGTTTAAATTTAATTTGTAGTTGTATCTCATGTTGAATGAATAGTTTGCTGCAGGAGGGGTGTGGGCTTGTTGCTTTTGCTTTTATTTTTTTTTACAAAAAAGTAAATTGGAAGAACATGCTTCAGCTTTGTTCCTTATGACCGTGTCCCTCCTAGCCAGAACTTTTGGTGCTTCTTTCCCCTTACTCCCAGAGAGTTCCTATCTGCCTTGCACTTTGTTCCTGATATATAATCTAATGCATGCCACCATTTGTTTGGTCTCAGAGGACTTTTGCAAAGGCTGATTACTCCTTTTTTCTTCCCCATCATTCTCCTACCTATTCCCATTTTATGTATTTTCCTTGCTATAGACTCCTCCTTCATAGATTGTCTTTTCTTCTTCTGAAGCTTGGAATAAAATAACAGTCAAAACTTTCCTATAAATCTGATATTTATGAAAAGCATAGCTATATTGGGAGAGTCACTGTGGTGAGGAGAATTTGGTGGTTTTTGGATTAGACTTGAATTTTCAAGTTCTCACTGTGGAGTTTTTTACTTAGATTTTCCACCCTGACGAGTGTAGTTACAGATTCAATTACATTATTGATGGTCTTAGGTGCAGCAGTGGTGAAAGATTAAGAAAACAAAATAGTGTTAGATGTTCTCTCTCATTTTTATGATTTGTCTTTATACATAGGGAACTTTAAAGGAAAATGGTCTAGTTGCAACATTAAGGTTACCTGTCTTTCAGTTTGAGTCGTATGCATCATGATTAACTTTTTTCATGCGAGACTTTTAGGAGGTATTAAGATACTTTTTACACCAATACAATTTTTCTTTGACCATTCCTCAAAACAGGAATGTAGAAAAACAGGTCAGGCTTTCACTGAAATTGATGTTTGTGACTTAATAGCAAATGCTGGCCTTAAACTATGAAAAACTCATGTTCGTGTACCATTGATGTCTTCTGTTCATATTACATTTTTTTCAATTTAAAGTAGAACCACTGTCAAACAATATTATGATTTTAAAATTATTGTAATAATTTAAAAACATCTTTCTTTAAAGGAAATCTGAACTGCATAGCGGGTGGAACATCCAGAAATGGTGGCTTTATCTGGGATGTTCGAAAAGGCAAAATGATAACCAGATTCAGTGAGGTAAGATGAGATTACTTCTTTTTTTGTCTATATTAAGTGGAAGTTAGTCATTCCCTTTAGTGTCCATAAATAGAGATGGCCAAAGTACATGTGTTTATAAAAGATGCTGTAGTATAAAAATCTATGGAGTTATATGGATGCCAGTTTGCACATGTGGCAGAAGTATTTTTACTTCCCCTGGAAGACTGGATTTGTAATATGAGAGTGGTGAAGCACCAGATGGACTCCATTATCTTAAAATTGGTCATGTAGGGACACATGGCAAAAGCATAGCTGATTCCTTCTTAATTGTGTAAATATATATGGACATACAGACTCAGCATCAAAATGAAAACTGTGTTCTGTATTTTCAAACATAAGGGCCAGAAAAAACTTTCAGTACCTGTAGTCTAAATCTATAAAGCTCCATTTTGCAGCACACTAAGCAGTATGACTCATTTAATGGCTTGCCTTGTATTACCTGAAATTTATCCAGGCATTTTTAAGTCCTGAAATAGTAGCATAATTTTTATTGGTAGAAGGAGTTGTGTAATATTATGCTGTCGTATTTTACACTATTTTGTGTATTCTTAGTATATAGCTGTGATCTTCAGATTATACAGACATAATCATTTAAGTGTAGGATCTGCATCAATGTATAAGGGATGCTCTTTAAGAAAAGAGGTGGGGCAGTGAAAAGAGGCACGAGCAGAAAACAAGTATACCTACCTTCAGGAGTTCTGGGTTTCCAATACTGATATTTGCATTTGTACTGCTAAATATCTTTTCTGTAAAACTGGTCCTGATACACATCCCAATTAAATTTTCTCATAGCACAATTTTTCATGCCCGCTAACTTCATTATTCCAAGTAACTAACCTTTATTCAGAATCACTGAATGGTTAAGGTTGGAAGGCACCATAGGTAGTTATCTGGTCCAACCTCCCTGTTCAAGCAGGGTCATCCTAGAACACTATGCAAAGGATTGCATCCAGATGGTTCTGGAATGTCTCAAGAGAGGGAGATTCTCCAGCCTCTCAGGACAATCTGTTCCAGTGCTTGGTCACTTACACAGTAGAGAAGTTCTTCCTCATGTTTGGGTGGAACTTCCTGTGCATCAGTTTCTGCCATTGCCTCTTGTCCTGCTCAGCACCACCCTCCCTTCAGATACTGACAGACATTGATGATCACCCCTCAGTTGTCCCTTCTCAAGATTGAATAGGCCCAGCTCTCTCAGCCTTGTAAGAGAAATAATTTTTGTTGCTCCCCTAATGGGCCCTCTCCACAAGCTCTCTTGTCCTGAGGAGCCCAGGATTGGACACAGCATCCCAGATGTAGCCTCAGTAAGACTGAGTAGAGGGGCAAGATCACATTCCTTGACCTGCTGGAATCCCCTTCCTAATACACCCCAGGATGTCATTGGCCTCTTGGCCACAAGTCACATTCCTGACTCATGGACAGCTTGGTGTCTACCAGAACCCCCAGGTCCTTCTCCACAGAGCTGCTTTCCAGCAGATCAGCCCCAGCCTGTCTGGTGCCTGTGGTTATTCCCTCCACAGATACAGGACCCTTTGCAGTTGCCTTTGTTGAATTTTCTGTCTTTCCTAAACAGCGTGTAGCTTTTTGTGGCAACATTCCAGTCAAGTGAGCTATCCCACTATGTCTCTGTAATCACAGTGCGGTGATCTGTGACTGCGCACAGATCTCTAGTTCATCCAGTTTGTTCCCCATACTGCATGTGTTGGAGTACAGGCACTTTATAGAAGTATTTGATTGTGTCCACATCCCAGTGGAGATGCAAAGGGATGTCCCATAGTCCTGCCTAGTGATTAAGTCTTTGGCTGCTTGTGCTTGCTCTAGGTACTGCCTCTTGAACCTCCTTATGCTACTGGAGTGGTTTCTATTGTTCTCTCCTTCCCTACACATTCTATCTGGCAAGCCTGGCCCTGGCCTTTTTCCAAACTTGTTTAAAGCTCTCACAATCTGCCCTAAAAACTCCTGAACTGAGATCCTTTTTCTCCTTTGAGATAGTTGGGCCCCATTTGTTGCCCACAGGCTTGGTGTTGTATAAACTGATCTGTGATCAAAACCTCCAAAATTGTGCAGGTAACACCAGTATGAAATCTAATTATTCATCTGCATGATCTTCCTGTTTCTTGCTACATCATTCCCTGAAACAGGCAGGACAGAAGAGAACACAACTTGTGCTTCACTTCCCTTGAACAGGTCCCTCTGATTGTCCACACTATTCTTTATTTAAGCTTCAGGTTTATATAGTTATGGATTGCTTATTCTTCAGCTTGACCTGGTTTTGTCTCTTGGATCTTGGAGGCTATAGAAGTTTTACTACCTATCTCCATAGTCCCAATGTTTTGGACTTGGATTCTCAAACATCCAGCTTATATTAGGTACTCATTATTATGTGGTTTTATACAGTATACTGTACTGTGAGAAAAGGGCTGAAGCCAATAGGAGAATAAAGTAAAAAAGATGAGTCAATAGATGAGAGAAAAAGGGGTGAATTATTTCTTATTGATAGGTATTTTGCATTTTTTGAAGCATGGAAAGAATGGAATCTTCTGCATTGCCTGGAGTCATAAAGATTCCAAAAGAATAGCAACCTGCAGCAGTGATGGATTTTGGTGAGTGTTATTGGAAGAAAAAAAATTGCTAAATGCACTTCTCAAGTCCATAAATTTTGATAATATTCTCAGTAATTAATTTTAAAACTTTTCTTACTGGAAAAAACTTATATTAGTCTTCTGTATTTGTTAGGGTATGTTTTTCATGATTTTAAGAAAAAAATAAAGATAATATCTTCAAAAGGAATAGTGTCTAAGACACACTGATAGTGAAACTAAATATTGATTTTTATTTGGACAAGAATATCCTTCTAGGTTTCTTATCTGTAGAAGACACTTTTCAAAAGCCATCCAACTTTATTTGTGTTAATTTTTAATATTTTTTTAGTTTGTTGTTTCAAGGACTAAAAAGTACTATTTTAGAATAAAATAACTACAAGTGCACTATCATAGGAGTATAATACCTCATTTCTAAAAACTCATGAATGTCCATTGAAACCAATTTTGCATATACTGTGTTTCAGTACATTTTAAAAATCCTTCTTCATTTGTTTCCTCTGCTACCTGTGTCATTCCAGCTCAAACATAATGGGCAGAAATTTTAGAAAACAATCGACTTTTTTTTAATTCATAAAGATCTAGTTGTACCTTAAAGCAATGACTACAACTTTGATTCTGGTCCATGAGGATCCTTTCAAGAAAGATGTACCACGGTTAACATCTTTAAACCCCTCTGAAGAAACTTAGATTCTGAAGTCAAGTTAGATGTTGTACAGTCGACATGCAGTTAAATGTTGTAATTGAGGGGCTGATATTGTTTGTAACCTTCTCCTATTCTTTGTGTGTATCTTTTTGCTCTCTGGTTTATTTGCACAGAATAAAACTTAATTTTGGATAGCCTACCAAGAATGTATTTTTCTTTATAATATCACATTGTAATTGGTTTCAGTATTATTCGAACCATTGATGGCAATGTTCTTCACAAGTACAAACATCCAGCTGCAGTGTTTGGCTGTGATTGGAGTCAAAACAACAAGTAAGTAAAAATTAACCCAAAGAACTGACAATATTTACTATTTAAATTGATTACCAGTAAAGTAACACAAAGTTATCTAGAATGTGATAATCACTGTGAGAGTAAAACATTGAAATTTTCTGTTCCAAAGTAGGATATACTTACAGCAGCTCTCTCTTCCCAGTAGTATATTTCATTGACTGGCATGAATTTTTTTAACTTTCAAAGGAGGATCGTTTCATATTGATGAGAGAAAAAAAAATATCTAGATGAATATATAATGGGGCGGGGGGGGAACAGACATTCAATACCAGGAAAAAGGGGTTTAAATTGGTGTCCTTGTAATGACTGCTAAGATGAAGATGTAGCAGACAACTAAATACCTTGTGATTATATGTAAATCTTGTACATAATTCTTAATAATGGCACAAGAGCTTTTTTTCCAAAAAAACATATAGTAATTCAGTTTAATAATAGATGTGTAGTGGGTGCATAGTCAGATGAATTCAAATATATTCCCCCATGGCAACTAATGGATTTTATCAGTTTTTTTCTGATTTTTTTTTTAATTGAATTATCAATAGCTACATCTTGAAGAGATGAAGGAGAAGCAAAAATTCACTATTTAAAAAAATAATTGCAAATTGCACATCATATATTTTTTTTAATTTTAAAAAACATTCATCATCTCTGTGACCAAGGATACTGCTGTTTTTTATTTTGCAGAGATATGATAGCTACTGGTTGTGAGGATAAAAATGTTCGTGTGTATTACTTGGCAACCAGCTCTGATCAGCCACTGAAAGTTTTTACCGGGCATACTGCAAAGGTGTTTCATGTACGGTGGTCTCCTCTCAGAGAAGGAATCCTCTGCAGTGGCTCTGATGATGGGTGAGCTATTAGAAAACTTAAACCTCAAGCAGGACTATTGGACAAACATCTGTGCTTGTAATGGTGTTGTCAATATTTAATAATCTAAATCTCTGCCTTTTCAGATGCAGGTTTTAGCTTTGCTCATAGCTTTATGTAGTATTTGGGTAGCAGAATCATCTAAAATTGTCACAACTGCTGTAGTAGTGCAAGTTTCCAAATGCTTTCCCCAAGAGTAGGGTCAGTGCCTGATACTGTTACTGCAAGGAATAGCACAACGGGGATACCACATGTTTACATTACGTCTGAAGAAACAGGTGCAAGACCTGCTCTTATTTGGTATTTTTCAAAAGTATGCCTAAGTGGAATCTGCAGAGAATTTTAATGAGTGTTGGGTATTTCTGTTTTTTGGTTTGATTCCATTGCTTTTGAGGGAGAGCACATCAGTCTGTGGTAAGTAGGAGGACACATTTTATTATGATTCTAAGCTACTTCCCTGAAAATTATACAAGATACTTTTATAATGGACATTTTGTAAAGTTTGGAGTATTATCTTCTATTGCTTTCCCATTATCATTCATTAGAGGTTTATGCTTGAAGCAAAATCTATTAGTTCATAGTGTAGTGATTCATGACAGGACACAACTTGATAGCAAACTTCTTGACAGTAAAATACATTGAACAGGACCGTGCCTAGAATTGAACCCTGAGGAGCATTGCTGGTGACCAGTTGCCACCCGGATTTACCCCTTTCACTACAACTCTTTGAGCCCTGATGTGATGCAAATAAATATTCTGATGAATTAGAAGCTTAAATTATTGCTAAAGGAGAGTGATAATTATATTTCAAAGGTGATCTGATGTAGATTGTTCTCTTTTGTCCTGTTTCAGTACCGTTCGGATATGGGATTATACAGAAGATGCTTGTATAAATGTTCTTAGTGGACATACAGCTCCAGTACGGGGACTGATGTGGAATCCTGAAATCCCTTACCTTCTAATATCTGGCAGTTGGGACTATACAATTCGAGTCTGGGACACAAGAGATGGAACATGTTTGGACACAGTTTATGATCATGGTGCAGATGTATATGGTAATATCTTTCAAATTTTGTTTTATTTTATTTCTGTATTGAAATGCATTCTAATATGTTTTGACATATATAAAGTAATTTAATCAAACAGGTTATTAGATAAACTTATTTGACTACATTTTTATATATTCCCTCTACTAGGATTAACGTGTCATCCTAGTCGTCCATTTACCATGGCATCCTGCTCTCGTGATTCCACTGTGAGACTCTGGTCATTGACACCTCTTATAAGCCCTCTACAAATAAATATCATAACAGACAGATGTTGGGATGATATTATTGGCAATACAGGTAAGAAAATTGTATAAAGCATTGTTTTAATTTTCTTTATGTTAATATTCCTATTCCTTTGGTGGTTGTTTATTTTAATTTCGTATATAAATCTTTCTGTGTGTTAGATCGCGCTGTGGAGTCTGGAGCTCCTCCTTTGCTGTGTGGTAAAGTTTCCAGGGATATTAAACAAGAATTGGAAAAATTGTCAGGAAATCCTCAAGGAAAAAAACTAAGATGGTTTTCAGAATTTTTTTCAGTAAGTATTCTGCAAACTTAGGGATGGTGTCAATGTGCATGTCTTTCTTTTCTGAAGTCAATCTCCAAAAGAGAGATTTCTTTTTTCTCCACCAATTTTTTTCTCTTTCTTGAAGGGAACTTAGAAAATAGGCAGAAATCAGTTAATTTCTTAACAGGCTGGCATATAAAAATGTCCATGATTGAATTGTTTGTCAGTTGTGAAAAACAAATTTCATTATTTTAGCTTTGCAAAAAGCAGACCAGCTTTTTGCAAAGTTAAATTAATGAAATAGTATCATTTTCTATGGGAAAGGTTAATTTGACAGCAATTTGCTACTGAAGAAAATGAAATTATGTGTTTAATCAAACTGCATTAGAGTTTTTAAATTTTTAATTAATCATTTAATTAATCAAAAGAATACCCTTATTACTGATAAAGTCTGAACTGCCCAAGTGTCTGTGCCCAAACTGCTCTTTATGTTTTAGGAAATGTAGATCCACTTGACCCGTGCCTCGGTATCCATCTATCTCCTTTTCTCCATTGCACTGTAATATTTTCTATAAACTGCTGCAGCTTCTCAGTGGAAATTAGGTAAAAATGTGGGTTTCTGTGAGCTCTTACCTGCATAAGGAGCTGCACTTGAGGTAGAACAAGAACAAAGTAACTTGGAACTACAGGTTCTACTACTACTGGAGCTTGTGTCAAACACTGTCATAATTTAAGTCAAAACACTGATCTAAAAAGACCTAGTTCATCCAAAATACTTGGTTTGAGTTCTAGCTAAATTGAAGTATATAATTTAGAAATGATGAAACAATCTTTCTCCATTTCAAACTTAAAAATTTTCTCTTTTGTTAAAATATATTTATGGAATTCCTTGTTTACAGAAGTTATTAATTTTGGTTTCCCATGTTGATTTGAGAGTAAAATTATTTTAAGACTATGAGAATTTTCCAAGAACAAAAGCTTTTTTGATCAGATATGCTCAGTGCTTTTTGAGTCCAGAAAATGAGGTATTGTGCTAAACTGTAAGGAGTCTAGTAAGAGTTTTAGTGGACAGAAAAAGAGAGTGTAGTCTTTTTTATTTATTTTTTTGGGGGGGGGTGGGGGCTTGAGGGGTGGTTTCCCTAGTAGAATTTTATGTTTTTTACCAGCTCGGAAATAATTTGACTTCAAAACTTGTAATGCTGTTGTTTTTTGAAAAACTTATTTAGGTCAAAGGTTTAATGATTTTTTTAAGCTTTTGGATACTTGCTGTATTCTAGACTTCATTCAGTGTTAAACTGTTGTCCTGTTAAGGTTTGATATTAAGATAATAAACCAGGTTGTGGCAGTCAAGCCTTGAGGTTCTTTTCTACCTGGCCCATGCCTTTTCTTTATAGAAAGAGGTAAACAAGTCCTGGGCCAGCTCCTGCATGCCAGCAGGAGCATACCAGACTGTTGCTTTGTGCCAGCAGTAGACACAGGATAGCTTTTATTTCTTTGAAAGCAAAAGGAAAAACTCTAGTGGCGAGCATTCAGCTATGTCCACACATAACCAAATAGGTTCATGCATCTCACTGTATCTTTACAGCCTTCAAGAAGACTGAAGGACTTGTAGTATCTTGAACTAATTCCTGTTTCATAATATAGGTTCTAATATTGAAATTATCTGAAATTGTATTTCTTGGAGTTCACTGAAAAATGTTTTCCAATGTCTTTATAAGTTCAGGTTTCTCTCTTGAACATAACTGTTATAAAACTCTTCTTCCCTAACAATTTTAGCCTCCAGGAGGCAGCAAAAATTTATGGGATTTGGTTGCTGTAATAAAAGGACAGGATGACAGTTTGCTTCCACAAAACTACTGCAAAGGAATTATGCATATGAAACACCTCATTAGATTTAGACTGGTAAGTGAAGCACAAACAATGTGTGAAAATGGTTGTTAATCTTAAAATGCTAGGCTACAGTTATTAACTAGAACAGCATTTTACAAAACAGTTAAAAGAAATTGTAAAGCAACCGTCACTACAGTTTCAGCTATGAAGCAAGTTTGTCTTGCCTTTTATATACACTGTACTTTTATGTTCAGTAAAGTCAAATTATTTGTTTATATAAACATGAAGTGTGTAGCTATGTTCAAATGTACAGACAGGGGAATTCATGTCTGAAAATGGGGGGAGTCAGCAGAAATGTGTTCTGTAGCTCTCTGGAAGAAGGAATAGCAAGAACCTGTCATTAATACAGATACGCAGCCTAAGAGTGGCTTGGATAAAAATAGGAAATTCAAGTACAGGCCATAAATTTATTAGTAGCTGCATTTATGAACATACAACCAAATACACAGTTTGTGTAGAATATGCAAATACTACATATTTGTAGTACTAAAGAATCCCATACTCTAATGACTGGATTGTAAATAGAGAAAAGAAGATCTACCAGTATGGACCAGGGAATGCACTTGCCAGCCCCAGGGCTAATACTTGACAGGTACCACCTGTTGGTTGCTGTTACATGCTGGCTCTTCTGTAAAATCACAGGCTCTTTAAGAGTGTCCTACATCCCCTGTGACTCTCAAGTGATTAAAGTTTATTTGTGTTGTTAACTGTAATAATAGCAGCTGTTCTGCTAATCCTGTGAAGCTCTGTTTGTGCGTCCATGTGTCAAAAAAAACCAGTTTTCTCAGCCAGTTAGTCTGAGAAGACATTAAATCTTGCCTTGTCCAGTGCCAGCAGTCTGTTTATCCCTGCAACATGATTTTATGCATTTAAAACTCCGGTGACCTAGAGTAACTACAGTAATTGCTGGTTATTCTCTGGACCTGGATTGAGCATTAACATTAATTAAAATATTTTTTTCCCCTTCTTGCTGACTCAGAATCATGTTTGAGAGCTTTAAGAGAAAGTATGGGGTAGGGTGATGCTGACTGCTTGTTAAGGATTTCTAATACTGTCTTTTCCTTAGGAAACTAAGTAATAGCACTGCAGCACCTACACATTTCAGGCTGAAGTAAGGATGTAGAGCAACTCTGTTTTTTTCTGTTTTTAGGAAACAGAGAGGATGTATGGGAGACTTTAGCATGAGAATAATAAAAAATTTAGAGGTGCTGAGGAAAAAAAATAATGTAGTATGTTTTTTACAAAAGACAGATTCTTGGGAGCTGCCATTGGTCTTCATGGCAGTTTACTTTGGTGAAGAATGTTCAAAATTCGTTCTTCATCTTCCATATATGGTACTGCAAAGTCATAAATATCCAAATGCTGTCATTGTGCATTGATGATAGAATTCAACTGAGAATTCTTGAAATAGGAATCTCCCATTGCTTTTTTTTCCCCCTGTACATATAATTCTGTTGCAGCTTGTTTCTCAAACTCTGCCAGATGAAGAAATTTTGTCTTATCTTCCCAACTAATATAAAAATTGCAGTAGTTGGGAATATAAATAATTTTTTGGCCATAAGGTTAATGGGACATGACAGATCAGACCACAGAGCCTGTTGTCTACCAGTTAAGCCTACTGTCTTTGTTATTTCTTTACATGGACATCATTATAATGGCAATATGTACAATTTTCAGCTCTGTATGGTTTATGTTTACAAATTTATTTTTTTTTAAGTTTCAAAATATCAAGATTTTTATAAGGGACATCTGTGTAAATTACTATAATATATGAGAATACAAAAAAAAATGTTATTATAGGAAGATAACCAAGGAAAATATATATTTACAACAACAAAACACGAACACATTAACGACATAAACATAGTTCACTGTAATCTCATTGAAATCTCTTTCAATTAGCCTTTTCTCTAAACAATGTTTTTCTTAAATAATAACCTTTATATTCCACTGTAATATTTGGCAATAGTCCATTAAGAAAATTTGTTTTTATCACAGAAAACTTAATCTTTTTATTTTTTTTTCTTTTTCTCTCAGTCCAAGGCACAAGAACTGACAACAGTAAAGATGTCTAAGTTTGGAGGTGGTATTGGTGCACCAAGCAAAGAGGAAAGACTCAAAGAAGCTGCAGAAATACATTTAAGATTAGGACAAATTCAGCGATATTGTGAACTAATGGTAGAACTTGGAGAGGTAAAATATCAGAACACTATTGAAGAATAAAAATATATTACAGTTTCTGAAAACCAGCAACCCTAGCAAAGATGGGGAGGCAATGAATGGGTCACAAGTCCCCTAAAGAGTAATCTTGTTCCACTTATTAACATATGCATAACTCATTCCTTATTTAACTCTTGACAAATTTATTTGTTATGGAAGAAAAATTACACTAGTTTAAAATATGTCTGTTTCTCAAATGGAAATGATCAAGTTAAATGTATTTCTGCTTTCTTCTAGTGGGACAAAGCTCTCTCAGTTGCACCTGGTGTATCAATGAAATATTGGAGGAAGTTAATGCAAAGGTAAGTTAATTAAAATATGGTGAATTGTAGCTTCAGTCCATAAAAGGACACAGACAAATGGGAAGGATGGATACTATTACCAGATATGCTTATTTTTTGTTACAGCATTCTAGTGATGTTACTTTTTGTTCAGTAAGCTTTGGGATGGAAATGTGGAGAATTTCAACAATACCTTTGTGTACAAGAATCAAATTGCAAGTTTGTAAACTCTTTAGTGCAGTATTCACAGTTTGTAAGTCTGGAAAGACAGATGGGTTTCAGTGAACTTTTTTTGGCTTCATCTAACACCTACACCATATAGATAAGTTTGGTGATTTTTCATATATGCAGATCTTTCTTGTTTATTTATTCATTTTTTTAATTAGGAGAGCTGATCAGTTAATTCAGGAAGAAAATGATGATGTCATCCCATACTGTATAGCTATTGGAGATGTGAAGAAACTGGTTTCTTTCTTTACTTCAAGAGGTCAGCTTAAAGAGGCTCTACTTGTTGCACAGGTATTACTACATATATACCAGTGTGGGAGATGTATTTAGCTCTTAGCTTGTAACTCAAAATATGACATGCATATTTAAAAGGCTAGCTCTTTTCACTTTAGGAAAACAGCTGGATAATGATGCCCTAGTCTTTACCTCCATGTTGTATTGACCAGTTTTCATACAGAAATCATAAGAAGGAGGTACCTCATTTTTTTTTACAGATTTAAAACCTGATTCTTCTAAACTGCAACCACATCACCATAATAAAAACTGATGTGTTCCATTTCACTTGAAATGGTACCTGATTTTCAACAGACAGTATTGTTCTTAACATCAAATTAGTGTAGGATTTGATTTCTCTTGAATTTCTACTGAGAAATCACCTGTAGGTATTAGGTAAATAACTGAATAATGTACAGAATGTAACTTGACACATTCTCAGATTTAACCAGCTAAAATGTTTGAACTTTAAAGCAAGTTAAAGCTTCAGAAAGATCTTAATTTTTCATGTAAGAGAAGTATTGCAGAGATTACAATTCATAGAATAGCCTTTGTTTCAAAGGCTTTAATAAGATTATAATGACCAACAAAATGCCAGAATTTACCTTCCATTGTAACTGAGCCCTGAGGTTTAATGGTGTTATCCCAGCTACATCATGTGAAAGAATTTCTGAAGACCACAGAATCAATTAGGTTGGAAAATACCTCTGAGATCACGGAGTCCAACCCTTGACCAGCCGTCACTTTCATTGAAATCAACTGATTTAATTTCAACCCACATTGATCTCTTTGTATTCAATGTTAGAAATAAATTATTGCCAGATACAAAGAAAAGTTCACCTTAAGCCACTATATTCCAAATCTTCCCAGATTTACTGGTACACCTGCTGAGAAGTATCGGTGGACTTCATCCTTCCCTCAGAGTTCCTTGGGTTGTAAAAATCAAGATTTTAGCCTTCACCATCCATTATATCCAAATGCTGAAAAATCCTGCACAAATGCATAGGAAGGAAGAAGTCTCTTGCTTTGGTAGAATTCCTGTATGGCTAAATAAAATCTAAGCTAGGATTTAGCTATGAATAAGTTCATTAGTTTAAACTAATTCTTTAATGTTTAAACATTTTCTTTGTTATAAATGTTATAACTTTAGAAAGTTTTTTATAGGTCTTAGATTATTTTTGATTATTTGAAAAAAACAATTTTATATTCAGTTTGAATTCTGCATTCATTAATCTATATTTTATTCACTTCCAGGCAGCTTGTGAAGGAAATATACAGATGTTATCACTCTCCACAACAAGCGGAACTTCAAATGTTGGTGAGAACAATACAGATGATTATAATGAGTAAGTTGTTCTAGTTTATAACTATAAACCTCATCTTACTGCAGAGTGTAAAGTCATTAAGGGAGATAAAGCATAGTGGTTTATTTTGGAATCAGCAATACAGAGTTCAACAAAATATTACATCTTCTAGTACTTAGTACAGTTACTAACTACCTTATGCTACACTAATTTCCCTATTGTGCCTCCTGGCACAAAATGGTTTTTCACATGTATGTTTCATAATTATAAATGTCCATTTCACCTGCTTAATATTTAAGATGCATTCCTGTGTACTAAAATATATAGGATAGTAACTGAGGACTTTAGGTGAGTAAGATTTAGCATTAACAAGTATTTGTGATCCCTTATTATTACATATAATCTCTTCGTGAACCTTTGCTATTTGTTATCAGTGAAGGTTCTGATAATGTAAAATAAAAATCAAACTGAGAGAGTGGGTTTAGATATTAGGAAAAAAATCTTTCACTTTCACACTTTAACCACTGTGAAAGTGGTGAGGCACTGGAACAGGTTGCACAGAGAAGCTGAGGGTGCTCCAACCCTGGAAGAGTTCAAGGTCAGGTTGAATGGGGCTCTAAGTAACCCAGTCTAGGGGAAGGCAGCTCTGCCCTTAGCAAAGGGCTTAGAACAGAATGATCTTTAACGTTCTTTAAGGTTCCTTACAACACAAGGCGTTTTATAATTCTGTGATTCTCATTGTCCATGCCCATAAAAAAAAACCCCAAATATGCACCTCTTCTTGTCTAGAACAGCACTCAAAAACTTGAATTACATTATCAAGCTAGGGGTGTAGTAACAAAATCATTTTGAGGGTGTGTTGTTACTTCATTTACATGAGCAGTTTTTGAGCAATTAGAGAAATACTGGTGCAGAGTTTACAGGTACAGATTGGATATCCAAACATTTGATTTTTATTCTGTCAATCTGAAGAAACATTTCCTACTGATGTAAACTTTGGGAGACTGACCCACCTCAGTGTAGCACGCTGGGCCCAGATGGTCTGGCTGGGTGCTACCTCAGAGAGAATCAGAGCAAGGTCTGGGGGTGGTTGTAATAAAGAGGGACGGGCACGATTGCGTGACCTGAAAATAAAGAACTTCAATAAGCAAAACAACAAACACATAAACTGTGCACAGTAAGGGGATGCAAACAAAAGGCCATGGTCCAGGGTGGGAAACAGATAAGGTAGGTTAGGGATGGAGTGTGAGGGTAAGGGACCAATAAAAACAGGAGATCAGGAATATGTAAAATAATGCACCAAGTTTTAACCAATGATAACAGAGAAGCTATAGAACTTTCTAGTATTATTTACATATCACTTTTCAGGGGGCATTGTGGGTCAGCTTTTGCTCACCCTAACTGTGGGAGATTTCTTTTTTCCCTCAGGGCCTGGGGCAAAGTCCATTGCCAGCCTCCTGCCCTGATGGACTCCAATTCCTCAGTATGCACCAACATAACTAGTGGATGAAGCTCAGATTGCATTTTTCAAGCTAGTAGTGTCATTATCTGTGAGCAAAATATAGCAGCTTTTAGGGTACAGAAGCAAATGTGATGAATTTTACATAAATTAAGACACAAGGCACTCCAACCTAAAAGTGACTTTGCAGAATGCATTTTTTGTTTTTCAGTCTCCTGCAGAAGGTCAGTAAAGAACTGGCAGATTGGTATTTCCAGGATGGACATGCAGTGCTTGCAGCATGTTGTCATCTAGCTGTTGAAAATATAGAGGTAATTTTTATTTTTCTTTAACAATGAAAAAGGAAACATTGACTTCCTTTTTACATCTCCACACGTTTTGAAATTTATGTATCACATTCTAAAATGGTATTTGGCATTTTATTTTTTATATTTATGCAGTTAGTTATAGTATTAAAGTTAGTAGCAAAACTTCCTTGATTCTATTAAATTCAAGGCTTCTGTAGGCTTCTCTCATGCACAGAAGGTAGCAAGTTGCTGCTGAATTTTATTTATACTATCTTGCTATTTTAGACAATAAAAGATACTTAAGTATTTTAGATAGATACATCTAAGTGTTGGTATTTATGGTGACTCAAAATACCCATTCAGAACTGGAAGTCATTGTTCTAAAGGTGCTGCAGTAATCTGTTGCTGACTTAACATGTTTTCCTCCTCTATCCCCCCAAATAAATATAATTCCATCCCAATGAGCTAATCTGAGAGAAACTGAGATTCAGTTAATGCCTATATTTCTAAATAGGCATATTCAAGTTGTGTAGTCTCCTAGCATCTGACATTCTGCTATGCCTATTCGTAACTATGATTGCTCAGAGAGAGTAAGAACAGGACAATCCTTCCAGTTTTCTTGGGATTTTGAGTCTCCTTTCATTGAAAGAGAGGGGGAAATATGCATTTTGTATGCTAGTGTCCATAAGATTAGATGGAATTCCTAGCATGCATTTTAGGTATCATATTTATGTGATCTCTTCAGTTGAATAAAGAAAGATTCTGCTAAAGGACATCTATTTGGTTGTTTAAAAACACATTAACACATAGTGCACAATTATTTACTCATTCAAGAGACCCAAAATACATGTAATTGAGTTTAATCATTGCATATTTTGTCCTTTTGTAAAAGGTCTCATAAGTGAATGTCATATGTTCAACATGATGAATGTCCAAAAATGCTTAAGTCCCTTAATGATATAATTTCTCCATTGAGCAAGCTTGCAATGGCAAACCTGATTCGTGGAAATGAACTGGAGCTGGCAATCAGTGTGGGTACTGTCTTGGGAGAAAGTGCAGCACAAGCAACACGTTATGCCCTAGAGTTACTAGCAAGAAAATGTATGGCAGTAATAACATGGTAAGAATTTCCTAATCCAAAGAAGATTTTTTAAAATTTTCTCCCGCACAAAACAATCAAGGTGTATCATTGCGAAACTTTTGTAGAGATCAAACCATCATGGGAAGGGAGAATAAAAATTTCTGCTTGAATAAGAATTGCTATATTAGACCTTTGAAGTACATGGCATGCAAATGTTCTCTTTTAATCTCAAAATACATTCCGTATGCATTGTAAATGAGAGAGGAGTCATTGTCAGAGTATGAAACCCACTGAAAAAAACCCTAGCTACATGGGCAATAGGTAGCTTATGAACTCCTAGTTTGTATTGAATAAAAAGAGCTGCTTCAAAAAAAGCAAGGCTGGAATTGAGTTAAAAAGTCAAAAGGAAAAGCTCAAGTAGGTTATGTAAAGTGATTTTTAAGTACCTGACTGAAAAATATAAAACTATGAGTCTGAGGAATTATCTTCTATTGGTATTAGGAGCACAAGACTCCTGCAAAGATATAAGGATGAAACAGGATTAGTATTTAATTCTGCAGAAGTAACTTTTCTCTTGCATATAGAGGAATCCTTCTGTGGTAAATTTTCTTTTCCTGATTGTAGTGGTTTTACTTTGAAGAATACAACTTCTTGTATTTTATCTAACAATGAAAAAGCAATGAAAACTTCCCAAAGGTATATTTGGCAGCTGTATAACTGGTTTGTAATAATCATTTCATAGAAAATGTGTACTTAAACAATTAAGTTGTAGTTGTAATTGTAGTTTTTCTTCTACAGTTAGTATTTACTGATGTTAATATATTATCAGATTGTTAGTGCTAATTGATGCTAATATTAATCTATTATTAGTTATTGCTAATGCTAATCTAGAGGTAGCCTGAGAGAAGCATAGTGGAACGCCTTTCTGCAGAGCATTTAGTTTTCATTAGACAATGAAGCATTGTACAAAAAAATAAAATAAGAAACTGGTGACTTGCTGTTTTCATTTTGCAATGGTTTAGCATGTCTGCATTGCACTAGGTTAGAATAGACCTGTTTTGCCAACTCTGTCTGCAGCTTCTAAAGTGTCTGAAGCTCCTACTTTGATCTCCTTGCCTTCATTGTGAAGGGTGATTTTTTTTGTAGCCTCCAAAAGCAAGCACTGGATGTAGAGTTACAAAAAACTGTGTGTATTTTTTCCAATTCCATAGCAAAAGCTTGTTCTGATCTCAGGGCTGCAATTAGTGCTTAGAATGGTATGGCATTTTTGTTTATGTCCATAAAGCTGCTGTAAACTTAATGCTTGTGTACACTGAAGTCTGCATGGGTATACATGATAAAATTTTAAAGTGGTGTAAAGGAGCTGCATATTCCCCAAGTATACATCTGGGTTTTTCAATGGGTTTCACACACTGTACTGCTATACTGAACATCCTGAAATCCTGGATTTTCAGCCATTACAGCATATTTTTATATTCTGTAGCAAAAGATCAGAGATTCATGATCTCTTTGTTTTGTTATAGAGAGATTTTCACACAGCATAATCCCCTTGGTTAACTGCATTCATAAGATCATGTATAAGGCAGCTGGAGTTCATGGGTCTCTGATATTTGAAGGGCTCCCCTCTTTTTTTTTTTTTTTTACTGGTTGTTATATTTAGGGATACCCATCAGTTGGAAACATTTCACTGTAGCAAAGCACTTAATTGTAGACACCAAAAGGAATACCAAAAGGACCCTGATAGGTTAATAAAGAAATCAGTTCCTGGTGGAATGTGTCTTGGGTTTTGGTTGGTTGTTTTCAAAAATTCCCTAAAATATAAAATCAAGCCAAAAAATAATTTTAAACTAAACATTCACACACTTTCCCAAATCTAGAGCCTTGAGAACTTGTGTGAGTGTTTAAGGACACATTTTTATTTGTATTTAACACCTAAATACTGTCAAAAGGAACTTTTTATTATTCAAAAATTAGTCATATTCGTTAGTCATATTTGACCTGAGATACTGAATTCTGCATATGCAAACTCAGTCATCTCATTTTGATCTTTATACTCGACAATGTTTTCAGTTTGATTCTTCAAAGTCATTCCAGGTAGCACAATTTGTAGGCTGTTATATGAGGGCTTTTTTGAATTACTTCTTTTCAAATGAATATTTGATTTAATTTTTTTGACAAGACAATTTCTAATCACTTAAAAAATGTTTAAATTGCTTAGGAAGACTAGTATATAAGATTAAGTGATCTTGAAAATAGCTTAAGAACTTTTGAAATATCCTAGATTCTGAAAGAATGTTTCTGTAACTTGGAAAAGTGGCTGTTGCATAGTAATAGTATCACAGATTTTCTAAAGACCTTTGAGCATTAATTTCTTTAGGTTGTCAGAAGGCATAAAATAGAAAGATTTTTTCTTTTTGTTTTGAATTCAGTTACTCTAACCCTTAGATTTGCTGTTGTAGTTTAATTATTTTCCATCAGATATTTTCTCTGTAAAGTAATACAAAATTTTGTTCAATACTGTTTCAATGTCTTCCTTTTAGCTTCCCATCACTTGGATACAGGTATTTTGCTTTTTTGGAGAAAGTTTAAATTTATTTTTTCCCTTAATAAATTCACAAGCTTTTCAGATTTCTCCTAAGTGTCCTAATTTTTAATTGTGATTAATACTTGAAAGTGAGATAGAAAGCGGATGCAAATGTTGGATAATAGCTTACTTGAACATTTTTAAGGACCATATTCTGAAAACCCAGAGTAAATCAGTAGGAATTTTTACCTTACACAAGGGCAAGTCAGTCTTGAGGTTCACAGGAGAAATTACATCAGCATGAATAGAAGAGTCACAGAATAGCCAATTATTAAAACTTAAATAGCACAATTTCCAAATAATTTCCTAATATTATACATGTTCCATTCTGCTGTTTGTTGTGTGAAAGACAGGGTAACAGGTGGTAAAAAAGTTAGGAAAATGTAAGAAATGTTAGTTTGCTAAAACAATTTTCCTTTGAGAAGGCTGAAAATAAGTATCATATCCTTTTCTCATATAATCTCTCTGTTTCAATGTCACATGAGCACCAAGCCATTCTGGATGACTGAGAGATGTTCTATGTTGATGTCATGAAGCTTTAGAAGCCTGAAATTTGAGGATGGTTTCATGACAGAACCACATCATCATCTTTTCTTCTGTCATATTTGAGGGTTCCTTCTCTCTTTTCCCATCGCTGCTCACATATTCTTCCATTTCACTTTGAGATGGTTTTGATGCTTAGGAATTGCTTAAGAATAGATGTTTAATTCAACCAAATAAAGCAACAGAAAATTAATGAATGACTCTTCCAATAAGATGAATAATTAAACCTCATTTATTGAACAAAAATAGTCTTAGAGACTGAGGTTGCTTCAGCACTTATGTGGAAATAGTATTTTTTTCAGTAAAATCTTCTTTATAACAGGAATATAAAAAGTGAAAATAATTTCCTTCTACTACAAACCATCAAGAATAACTACATGTCGTCTTTTATTTGTGCAGGGATTTAGCGGTTGATCTTCTTATGATGATTCCTGATAATAAACTACATTTAGTAAAACTGTGTGCTTTTTATCCTGGATGCATAGCAGAAATAAATGACCTGCATGAAAAGGTACATCATAAAAGAATTTACCTGAATCCAATAAGGTTTTGTATTGATTTATTTACTAATTTCAAAAACCATAAGGCCATATAAAACCATAGAATGAATTTGTCTCTACAGTCTTATATGTAACATATTCTTTCCACCTCTATTAGTTTTTTGTTGACTTTATTTTCAGTATTGTACAATAAATTTAGTTCTTTATTTCATTCCTTTGTGCACTCTTTCCCTGATGCACATTACTTTCTGAAGTAGCTTATGATCTTCAGAATTACCTGTCAATATGTTTTATAACCTAATAGATGTGCAGCCTAATCATGTTTTGGCAGATCAACTTTCTGTGGTCTGTATTGTTTTACATCTTATGCCTCTAATGTCCATAAATGTCCCCTTTCCTCTTCAGCAGTGGAAGGGTCTGCTTTGGTTGGACTCCATTAGAATACAACTCAGACTGAACATTTATTAAACAGTAGTAAAAACTTCACAAAAACATTAGCAATGAAAACTGCTGCTGCTTAAATTAAAGTTACAGAACCTTTTCCAGTGTTGCTGTGGTCTAGATGGCTTTCTTAATATGCATTATATGCAGGTATGTCTTTCAATGACTCCAACAGAGAAAATTTTTTCGTATTGTTATGTGCAAACATCAGTATTTCTCTGCATCTTAGATAAGTATTGGAACATTTCAGTTACTTTCTGGCAAATCTTTGTTTTCTAGTGTAATCTTCCTGATGTGGAAGAATGCATGCGACTAGCAGAGACAATCCAGGCAGACGGGGATGTATTTGAAACAATAAAGTACTATCTGTTAAGCACAGAACCTGAAAAGGCTCTCCCAGTTGGCATTCAGTATGTGAAAGGTAGGTACTTGGATGAAGAACAATTTTAAAGCAAAAGTCATTTTTATAACTTCCCTCATGAGGTATTTTTCTTTTTATTTTTTAACAGAACAACTTTGTGGCTCAGACTGGACTTTAGATTCAGTCTTTCCGTATCTTGATCTTCTAAGTTACATACGGACTGAACAGTTAATGTTGCCTAAGTGTAGTGAGTGAGTATATTTTCCTAACTTAGAATAAGTGGAACTTTCTTAAAGGAATCTTTCAGATTGCATATATATAGGTGCACACTGTTAGTATAATTTTTTTTGTTTAACAGAAGAGGGATGTAAAAAAATTCCAGCAAGCATGTTTGTTTCCAGTCTGGAGAATAGAATGTGGATTTTCCCAGATTTTGAAGGTTTAGCAAGAAAAATAAGATATTTTAATGCTTCTTTCTCTGTGGAGTATTTACAATATGTGAATCAGTGCTGTCTTATGTGAAGAACTTCACTTTGATCAGCTCTGGTTTCAGTTTCCTGAAGTGGTATCACAAGTCATGTGGGCTTTTATGTCAAAGTGTTAAGGAACATTGGATTGCCACTCTCTGAATTAACTCTAAAATAGTTGGATAGCTCTGATTCACCTTTATGATTGACAGTTGAAGCTAGGCCTATGTGCCTACACAAGTATGCACAATATACGCAAATACACAATATATCCTTTTCACGTGAAGAACGAAAAGGAGGAAAAAGTTGGGGGAAACTTGTTGAAACTGAAATCGACACTAATATTTGAGGCAGTTTTATTTACATTTAGACTTTTATCACATTAAAAGGTCTGAGTGATTTTGTCTTTGTAACTCTACATGATTGTGCCTAGAATTGCATTGTATGTGCCATTAAAAATTTAGTAATGGAGATCAATATAAAGCAGATGAAGTCTGTTTTAAGAAGTCCATGACACAGAAAGTAAGCATAATCAGGAAACATATATTCTTCACAAAAGGTGGATGGATGGATGGATGGATGGATAAATAAGGTTTTAAAATTATAATTCGAATATGAGTATGTTTCATGTTTTTTCAAATACATGTTGTTTTTCATGATTGATACTTGCTCATTTACAGATTTCGGAATGAGTTGCTGATTTTGTGTGGTTATGTTGGTGCTTTACTTGCCATCAGAAGACAGTATAATAGCATTGTACCTGCACTGTATGAGTACACAAGGTATGAGTACACAGTATTACTGTGTTTTCATTAACTCTGAGTAATCTCAGTCCTTATTATGACATATGCCATACATTGAGCCCATTTCACATCCCATCTCAAAAAATTCAATACATGTCTTTCCTCTTCGCTATCCTCATGTGTGAAACTTGGTGAGAGGATTGGGAAAAGGGAAAAGGAGAATTTTTTTGTAGTTGGTTTCTTTTTTCTTTTCTGAACCTTAAGAAATAACAACATGAAACACAAGCTTTTACAGAAGGGCTATTCTGATTATGGATATTAATACACTAGTAACAAGCAGTCTTTGAAACTCAGTTTCTGTTACTTTTGGCTGCAAAGCTTTCAATTATCCTGGGATATAAAGAACTACACAATCATACAGCTCAAATTTTTCTTCTTGGATTGCCCAATATCTTCAGGACTCACAGATTTTTAGTTTCCAGCCCATCTTAAACTGGACACTTACCTGCTTAAGGTGGACAATTGACATGCTTAATTAAGCAGGACATTTTTAATCAACATCAATATCCCAACAATATCCCAACACAACACAAAATATCCCAACACAACACAAACAAAAGATGGCTGAATTAGGTGAGGTAGTAACTGCCCCTTATATTTTGATAAATAAAAAAATGCAAGGGCTTCTGCAAGGGCTTTGAAACTGTTTTCTGCAGGTGAAACAAGGCTGTCCCAAAACATGTGTTGGACCATGTTTCTCTAACTGCATTTTTACCATATGGAGCATATATAGGCAAATTGGATCCTTAATTTTAGTAAAGTTGACAATATTAAAAAATAAAAATACATATAGCCTTAAAATATAGAATGGCCTAAAATTTAAAACAATTGAGCAAATTAAATAAGGTATAAACAGGGATAATTAAGATAAAATTTAAATTGAAAGCTATACTTCTATATTTAGTATGAGTGTTATCAAAGTTTAATATAGTGTATATTGTGAAGTATTAATTTATTTCCATAGTTAGTTCATATCCAATCAAAAATAGTTTTACTTTATTACTGTCTATCATATTTTGCTTATAGGCAATAGTTATTATCAGGACTAGTTTGGACTTTAACTACTTGTATTCCTTTTCAGTCAGCTTTTAAAAAGACGGGAAGTATCTGTACCTTTGAAAATTGAACAGCTTTCTGAGGAATTAGATGCATGGAGAGCTTGCACACAATCAAATAGGTAGGTGGAAAAATATAAAATCACCATGAGTGAGACTCATAGTATTTAACTGTTTTGTTGTATATTTATTGCCTTTGTAAAGTCTGAATGTCACTGCTTTGAGGATCTTAATTTCTAACACAAATTAGGAAGTGAAGTTGAAAACCAAATTTATTTTATGTTCATAGGCCTGCAGATGAGTTGCCGTGCACCCCGCCCTCTGAATCACAGAGAGCACTGTATTCAGTACTCATATCACGAATTCAGGAGGAGCCTCTGAAAGGAATGGTTGGGCCAGACTGTGTCACTGGCTCAAATCTTCCCAGTCATTCAGATGTTCATACCTCTTGTTTGACTGGGCTAAAGATCCAGGTACGGTTTTGGAGAGCTGAAGTATTCTTTCTTGCTGATAGCACTGACTACTTGTGAGGTTGCCATAAATCAAAGGTCCCTCCCACCATTTGGCTGGAAAAAGGTCCAGGAGCAGACTTAAAGGTGACAGGCAGTGACATCTGCTATATAAGAAAGGCTGCATAAAGAATTGTCCAATCAAATAGTTGTCATTTCCCAAATACCAAACCTTTTCATTTCCATGGGAAAGATTTCCTTTGCCAAATGTTGTGTCTAAAGTGCATGTATCTTACTGGCTACTCCCTCAACACAGCTTAAATAAAAGCCAGGAAATTATTTGTCTTCAACCACATACTAACATTTTTCTGGTTTTGGTTTTTATCACTGTGGAAGTACATACTATAAAACTTGGAATTCATGCCTAATTAAATCCAGATGTTAGAAGACTAAATATTCAAATACATTTATTCATCACTCACATTGAGTTTTATGATCAATACACATTAGTCCTTATAACACCTCTTTAATATCTTGTTATTTTATTAAAGAGAAAATGGAAAGATCCTGAAAACACTGCTCCTGAAAACATTGACTCCAGACAATGCCTCAGTGTGAATTTAATTTCCTAGGTGATGCCGAGTCTGTTTCCTCTGTCCAGTGGAAGATGTTGGCCCAAAGAGTAACAGGTTGTTGTTAGGGTTGTTTAGGAACTAAGAGGGATAGATAGTTTTGTGACAAAAACTGGAGTTTACAAAATGCTAATGGGATTTTTGAGGTAAACAAAATTCTAAACTTCTCACCATGAATCTCGAAAAACTTGCTCGTAACACTTCCAGATTAGATCAGTGGTTTCTGTCAATGGCTGTACTCAGCATTTGCTAACAGCCATGTAAAGCTGCCACTGTTACAATGCCTTCAACAAGAATAGCAAATATGGTGTCACCAGCTTGTCATCTACAGGATCCTTATTTCTGGATTAGCATACATTAGGAGTCATGGCTTTAGGCATGCAGATCAGCTCAACAATCAAAATCAGTTAATACTAAAGCAGAGCAGCCTACTTGCATGGCTTGACAAGTTTTACGTAGCAAAGTTGGAGAGCATAACTCTTTAAGAAAGCACTGAAATTGAAATGCAGCTTTAAGAGCAGATTTTGTCAAATTAATAAATTAGCAAATAGCTCTTCCATCACATGAACAAGTACTTTTTCCTTTTCATAGTGAGTATTTCAAATTGTTCTGTGGACTGCATGTAGACTGTGTTTTCAAACAATTTATAGAGGCATTATATCAGGGCTTTTTTGCAGATAGGAAAAAGAACAGATCAGCAGAAATAATGACAGACATGATGAAATATGGACGGTATTCGGAAGAAAAGTGTTTGTTACCTCAGTTTCTAATTCAAGATAAATTTAACTCTGGAATCATTGACAAGCATATAGAAAATAACAACAAAACACATAAAACTAAAAATTTAAACATTATGAGAAGTTGGGTTGACAGATTTGGGAGCATAAGTGCCCTCAATTCATAATGTGTAGCTTTATCAAAGTTCTAAGTGAGTGGGGAAAAATCTCTGTGTGAGCATAGTGGATAGGTCTAAACAAGGTTTTTATGTTCTTCTCAGATAAAATGTGCTTTCTATTGTGGCCTTTATACAATACACGTATGATTTCTTTTTCTTTCCCTTCCCAAACATTTTTGCTTTACAGGGTCCTGTGTTCTTCCTTGAAGATGGAAAATCTGCTATTTCACTAAACGATGCTTTGATGTGGGCCAAAGCAAATCCTTTTTCACCATTAGGAACAGGAATACGACTTAACCCATTTTGATGAGGTGTTTCCTCTGTACTTTATAGTGCTTAAAATAACACTCTGGGGGTTAATGCTGATTTAACCTTGATAGTCAAAGGACAGAAAGGTGGTAGTTGATTCCTCCTGAAGGTCAGTTACTTGAACTTTGAAAATTATAGGATGAGAACAAAAGGATTTCTATACAAATGTTTGTTGAGGATCCAAAGAAAAAAGTTATTTGATAATCCAAAGAAAAAGTCCTAATTTCATATATAGCCATGCCATTTTTTTAGTAAGAATATTGTCGTCAGACAATTATTTTTGTCAACTCTGTGTAAATAGGTGCTTAGTAAAGTAAGCAACTATCTACACATTACCAAAATACTGATAACAAACTGTGAAACCCATAAACACTCTTCCAAATATGACTTTATTGACAGGAACTGCAACCTGTTTTTAGAATAACTGAAATATTTTGGCTATTTCACACTGTCCCCCTTTTTAATTTAAATTATTTTTTATGTGTAGGGTTCTATAGCAAAAGTGAAGTTTAAAGAGTAGATGCTTTGTTTCATCCACTTGTTATTATGCTTTAATAGCAGTGCAAATAGAAGGTCACTTTTGTTTTGTTTAGATTACCTATTTATTATCTATTTATTTAGATTATCTAGATTAAAAAATTCTATTTTCTAATAGGATCATATTTGGCAACATTCCCTGTTATGCTTTCACTGGAGGCTAAAACGCTTTATAAACTTTTTTTTTTAAAACAAATGCTTTGTAAGGAACAAACAGCATATTTATTGAAGTTATTTAACTATGCTATGTACATTTAAAATGCTTGTTTTCTTTTTAAATTTTGTATTAGTTATAAACATGCATATGGTATGACAGACCAGAAATAAATACTTGTGCATATATATATTTTTATTTACTAAATCTGTGCTCAAATGGGAAAACAGTTATGGCAATAGAATACTAAAAGTATTTAAAGGTGTGTATAGTATGGAATTTAATTATAAGTAATGTATTATTATTATTAATTATTCTTATAATCAGAATTGCTCACCTGTAGAAAAGATGCCTTGGTTACAATACTCTTTATTAGCTTAACTGATGGCACATAAGCAGAAATCTGCTTTATCTGTTCCTACATTTTTTGCTGCTGCTTTAAAACAAATTTTTAAATTTATTTAAATTCCTGATAGTTACATGGAATGTAAAGAGGTTGCAATTAAAAATTGGCAGAATTATTTCTATAGCAACTGTTGTAAAACTGTAAATAGTATCAGGTCTCTATTTAGCAGATCCTATCAAACAATCTTCAATACAGAGGTAAGCTTTGCCCTGATTTAACTACAGAAACAACAATGCCACCATGCTGGAAAGGAGATTACAAATAAAAGAAAATCCTGAGTTGTTTTCTTCCCTCCCTCTTTAAAATGGCAAAATTTAACTCTGGCAATGTTCTAGAGTATTATTACAGGGTTTCTCATATAAGAATATATTGGGTGGACGGAATACAGCTGTTTTGTACCCTAAAAGTCCCATATTTGAATGTACTTGGGTGCTGGAACCGAATCTTTTATTTCCTGCAAGTATTCTTTGAAAATGGTTTTCCTTTGTTTGTTCCATGGAGCTTGCAGAAGAATTCAGTCTCAGAAGTTAAAATTCATAGTTTTTGAAAGAATTTTCCAGCAGTCAGTATCCGATCTTGCTTCTGTCAAATGAAAGACTACCTGTCTTTTAATACATAAACCGTACAACCTGGTATGTAAAAGTTGTTGATACAGAGGTGGAGAGCAAAGGTAAGAACTGAACACACAGCCCCATGACTGATGATTGGGATCTGAAGCATTGACTCAACTACCATTCTACTATATTTAAAATCTTTTGTTGTATCACAAGTATTTTTACTAATATTTCACAGTTAAAATATCTTAAATATGTAGTGTAACTACATCAATGTGTTGCACACAAATTGTGCCTTAACATGCAATCTTGGGCAAATCTACTCCCTCTAAATTACAGAGTAAGGGTTAAGAATTCTTTCCTTACTAAAGTAATAAAAATTAAGTCAAAGGGTGTTTTTTTATATTGGGGATCCATCAGGTAACAGTCATTGTGAATAACATGAGGTTGCAGTTTCCTTAAAGTTGTTTGTACAGTGGTGAGTGAGGGGAATATGCAGAAAAGGTTGTAATTGTGTCTGCTGTTACAGCTGTGGTTGCAACTGTCAACTAGTTCATCTTTTCAAAAATAATTTCAGATTGTTTGCTAATATGTAGCTTCATTGTCTAGTACAGCAAGTCAAATACAGGTATCTCCCCCTTAATATTAAAGAATACTTTCTCTTCAAAAGACTGTTTGACTCCTCTGTAAAAGTCATATTTCCATTTAAATGAAAAAACATATGAAGCTACACAGCTACTGCTTTCCAATTACTATTGAATCTCAATTATGTTCAACATCCCTGCGAAACCAAATCCACTGTTCTCTGGAAATAATCTGTCCAACAGTGCTGACAAGTTTATAAGCTTCAGAGACAGCTTCACTGGCAGCTGCAGTCTGAGATAGGAGATTTGGCACTTTAAACCCACGTTGTGGACTGGAATGATGCCCTGTTTGTTCCACCCTGTGTGGGGCTCCTCCCAGGCTGGGCCTGTGATGCTGGACTGGGCATGGCCAGAGCCAAGTGGCCCCCAGCCCCAGGACAGGCCCAGGAAAAACACAAGGAGAACATTGTAGCATTGTATTCCACCTGCTTTCTCACCCACTAGTGAGGTAGCCCCTCTGGGTCTCTGGAATACTTTCAACAAGCCTACAGGATTTCATGATTTCACTGCTGGATTTCTTTCCAGAACTGACATACTACACTACATTTTTTTTTTATTTTTTTTTTTCTGAAAATGCCTTAGAACACTTTTTAACTAGTATAACAATTAATGTAATAAGGGCTTTATTGGAACAATCTTTAACAGTGCTCTGACCTGGGTGAATGTTTGCTTCAGATCCTGGTTCATAGTATTTTAACACATTACTTAACATTTATTTCATACTAAGAATTCAACCCATCAAAGCCACATTGGAATATGGCCCTCACAGCATGAGATCAGTAACAAACCTGTTTCCTTTCATTTCTGGCTAAACAAGGCATTATTTTTGGAATGGCTTTTACCAAGTACTAACACCAGGTATTTCATTGTTCTGTGTTTTTAGTATGTTGCAATAGCATGCTCTGATCTGCCAGAAACCTGTTCCAGTACAGAGTCCTGCCAGGCCAACAACATCTATTCCCTATTTTGTTTGTCCCTGTCACATAGTAACAGAAACAATGCCCCATCCAACTCGGTTCAGCTTGCCAAAATGAACTCAATTTTTCACGTAATTATGTGTTCGCAAAAGATTTAAGGTTATGTTGAAAAGTGCCTCTTGCCTGAGATCAAAGTAATGGTATTACCAAAAGCCAGTTTCTTTTGACTAGTCTCCTATTCTGTATAATTACAGAAAAAAATAGCACCAAATACCTGTAAACTACAAAGATGGTCTTGTTTGCTCTTTGGATGGTGGCAGGGATCAGGGGGGATGATGGGAATAGATATTGCACAAGTGCATGATCACACCTATTTGCAATGAGACGTTTTGGATTCAGGTGTGACTCTTAACAAAAATTTTAACATTATCTAGTTGTGTTCTGAACAGCAGAATGGCCGTTTGCTGTAAACTGATATAGGTGTATAGAACATGAGAGCTTTTTTTGCCACTTTGGATCAAACTTGAAAAGCAATGTGTACACCTGAAGATGGGGCTCTAAATGAGCTCATTCTACGTGGAAAGACTCAACAGTGCTGTGGTTGGCTTGGCAGTTCAAAGCTGGCTTGTTTGTCAGAGTAACACACAGTAATGGTGTACCTAAAAACACAAATTGCTGCTTTCTGGATGAAAACAAAAACCACTACACTCACCCCAGTACAGACTCAGGATATGATGGACTCCTAAGCAGCTCCTTATATTTGTATCTGACTTTCCTTCTCCAGAAAAGACCCCTAACTAGAGTTTTTGCAGGGAACAGAAACAAATTAAGGTTATTTAACAGAGTGTCAAGACAACTACACTTTTTATTAGGTGCATATAATTTAGCAACTGAGTAAGCATTCCTCTTTGTGAAAGCTTCCTCTATAGTTAGTTCCTCACTTAGCATCTTTCCAGTAGAAACATAAATACTGAAAGGAGTCACTGAAAAGGAATGGAAGAGGGTGAATCACCAAGGACAAATGGCAAGTTTTCAGGTGTCCCATGCTTTAGTTTGTAGGAATTGAGTATCAGTCACTGAGAACGTAATCTGTTCTCAAAGGAACACCAAATGAGAAGTGGGGAAAGATGAGTGCTGCATTTTCATCTATTCAGATCACAATCATCAAAAATTCAAGGGCATGAGCAAAGCCTTAGGCTTTTCTAATGTCTCTTGGGGGTGTCACCATTCCATCTCTGGCTAGAGTTGAACAATACCTTTTCACAGAAATGCCTGCTGGGGTATTTGCAATAGGATTTTTGGAGCTAGGTAAATGTTTACAAAACGGATAGTAAGAGAAGTAATGTCCTTATCAAGATGTACCCATCTTGATACAGAAAACTGACATGTTTGAAACCTTGTAATCACCTCCTGAACTCAAGCTTGTGGATTCAGTATCCACATCTCCACTTCAGAAAGCTCACAGATACTACACATTAAAATATGCCTCTCTCTGAGGCAAATAATTATTTAATATGCCCATTAAATGCTTGTGATACAGCATTTTTATGAAAAGATAAGGGAAGTGCCCATGTAATTCTGTTTTCTAAGACTATTTCAAAAGTATCTCTCTGGTAAGGCTTTTGAGAAATAAATTACTAATTGTACCAATAAACAGAATTCTACAAAAATTAAGTTTGTGTTCACATCAGTTTAATTACAATTCACAGCACAGGCAGTGAGGAAGAGAAAAGGAAGCTCCTCACTGTGATTAATGAATTGTTTATATAAAGAAAAAGAATCAAAGTCTAATTGTTTTATTTTTATCAATGCATATAGTGCACCCATCACCAGATATTTTTAGGTACACAAACAATAGAAATTTAAAAATACAAATGGACAAACTTAACAAATAATAATGAAGAAACTCTTTGTGGTTCAGGTGTGTCAAACAGATTTTAAAAACATAAACACAATTAAAGTTAACAGCACTAAAGCTATTAAGGGTTAAGATAAAGTTATACAATCATGTCCCAGAGTATCAGCACACTTATTTAATTCAGCTGGATTAGCACCTTGGCACTAGTTGCTGAATGGCTCCCAATTACTATTACATTACCAACACCAGGTGTCAAAGATACAATATTTTTAAGCAATATGCAAAAGGCTTTTTTTTTTCCGCCCAGCAGTTCTTTAGATAAAACATACAATAAACAGAGAGAAGAAAATGTACTTGCTATATTTAAGTTTCTAACAGTTAATTACTATGTTATCTGTACTGTAAGAAATTCTTAAGTATTGTTGGCAACTGGAGCTGTGGAACAAGATGCAGTCTAGCTCTTCCTATGTAATTTCGGATACATAGTCGGCAGAGCTGACAAAGAGAAGATGGTGTGGCTGCAAACAATAAAGAAAAGAGTTTAATTGTACAACTATAAAAGCCAACATTTTGTTTTACAACAGTCTTGCACAATAATGGGATTTAAAAAAAAAAAAATTTAAAAAGTTCACATTTTTCAAATTTGACCTTTTTCTTCATTCCCTTTTCTTTATTGCCTTTCTTCCCTCAAAGGTAAAAACTGGAGCTGCTTAAACCTTAATAATAGTTAGGGAAATACTAAAGAAAGCAAGCCAAGGTCAGTTTTTTTAAATTAAAAACCAGCTCCAAGAAAATATCTGAATTCAGTAACTTTAAAACCTTCAGACTTGTTGTTTTGGGGTTTTTTATTCACATCACAGGTTATATACCTGCTACAGCACTACCAATGCATCACTGAAACAAGAATAACCAGGCAAAATACTCCAAGATCCCAGACCATATTTAGTGGTCTTACTGTTTAATCATGTCTTTACCACTCTAATCCCACTCCTTCAAAATGAACACTGCTGTTTTCTCTGGACAATAAACCTACATCTGTTTCAAGCCATGTAATTTTTTTTATTTGCTCTAACTTTTAAAAACACTACTAGTCTTAGTAAATTTGTGAAAATAGACAGTTTTAAGAGGGGTTTTGTTAATAGCATTCAGACTACAGAGTGGTTTTTCGAAGGAAAATATGAATCAGTCTTACTTGTCAGTTCACCTCTAAAGAGGTGCCCATGGTTATTCAAGGAGTTTCATTCTCTTGTGGCTTATTTTTACATTCTGCATAGTTCAGTCTGAACAAGTCCAGCTCCCTTTGGAATATTCTCTCTCTCCAAAGCAGATAGACCTTTAAGAGGTTTGAGGGACTATAGACTCTTTAGTCTCCTGTTTCTCAGGTTTTTATAATTTTTTTAAGAAAATTTAGAAAATTACACTTATGCCTTTTGCCCACAATCAAAATAATTTGCTTTATATGAACATAAAATATATATTTAAAAATATTATGACAGCTGACCAAAATGAAATATTTTAACCTGAAATTTAACCTGTTTCTTTTTAACAAGGTCTGTAAAAATGAATAAAAATGTAGCTTTAATGTCTACTTGTGTAAACACCCAATAAACATATGACGATACTTTTTCAGCTTGTATAAATTCTCATGCTGCTTGGTCAATGGGCTCTGGCCTGAGGCTGAATATTGCTGAGTATGTTTGTAGTTAGAAAGGAAATTACCTGAATGCTCATATATTCATTTCATAGAGCACAGTGTTACCTTCTATAACATGGGTTGTTTGGACTGTTAAGTTGGGGGTTTTTCTAGGTGGGTTTGTTTTTTTTTTAATAATACAAGTTTCAGTTTCAAATATAAACATGTAAAACTTACCTTCGTGGAAGAGCAGCAGTCTCTCCACTAAACTGCTTGGGGCAGCTAAATCAACAGGCCTCTCAAAATCTGAATTTTTGGCATTTATGTCTGCCCCAAATTCGAGGAGTAAGTTTACAATCTCTGTACTAGAATGCTGGGCAGCAGCATGGAGTGGAGTTTGCAAATTCTTTCCTTTCTGCACATTGGCACCTGGTGGGTAGATTCAATAAAGAAATGTAAGAAGAGAATTAAATATGCCATTGAGTAAGAAAGACAAGGCTACAAACAAAGAAAAACAACAAAAAAAAAAGTAAAACAAAGAAAAACTGCCACTGGCCTGGAATGCCAGAGTGCATTTAGCCACTTTTATTAATTTTATTGCATAGATCTATAACTAATCACATCAGTGTTTTGTTTGGGTTTTGTTTTTTTATCCTAGGTTTTATTATCTAAGTACAACCAGATTAAGAGGTATCAGGTACCAGCCAGAGAACATGAGCATCACTATTGCCTAATCACAATAAAACACTTTTTGTACACATTTAAGACAATTTTCACTACATAAAAAACCGTATTTTCTTTATTTGAGTCTTAAAAAACCCCAAAACACTAAACTGAAGTTTTGTATGTATATTTTTGTGAGTACACCAACTCAAGAAGGAATCCTGGACACTTTATAATTTTTCACATGTTGAAGCTTGCAAAGGGTTTGAAATAGATTGCCATCCCATCTAACCTTTATTTATTAATCTATAAATTAATTTTAATTTTAATTAAGGTGAGATACACAGTCAAGAAAGCTAATAGGGAAAAAAAAAACCCCTAAATCATTAATTCTCCCAATCCATGAGTTCTAATTATTACACTTTTATATTAATAGGTAATTGTTAACATGTTTTAAATTAAAATGGACTAAATTAATTTGCACTAATGCATTCATATTCAAGAAAAAAAAATCCATACATGAGTTAAACTAAACTAGCTAGTATGGAAGAATTTCCCTTGTAGGCAAGCTGTTGCTTCATCTAAAACCAAGCCTTCTTCAGACTTCTTACTGACCTTGTGAGACCAAAAATTGCCCTCTGTACCAGCTCTCCTCCTTGAATCAACACTTTTTGCATTTTAAATGCCCATTTGAGTAAAATAAGTTAATAATGTCACATGTCTAGTAATTGGGTCTGAAGTCTGAATAATTCACTCTTCTTAACATTAACAATTTGCACATGCTTCTGCAGTACCATGCTTTTGCCTATTTCATTGTCTATCTGCTTTCCAACTTCTAATACATTCTCACAAACTGATAAAATGTGAAAAAAAATTAACTTACATAAATAGCTACTTATATCCTCAATACCCTTTTCTATTTCAGGGCACCAGCAAATGTAGAATATGCCCTTCAGTTACTGTTTTTTCTGTATGGTAGTATTTGAATCCCAAAATATGCTACTTACACTTTTGCTGTTCTTAAACCTAAAAAATCATGACATAGGGTAATTAATCATCCAAGGAGATTGACTCAATGAGAAACACTTTAACTGCTTGTTTAAGTTCTAAATATAGCATGGAATCAACTAAAAAAACTATTCTGGTTCAATGATAGCAAGGCTGAATTATCCATATATACATTTTAATTTCTTGCTCTGCAGGATGCAAAAGCCCTGTATGTAAATACCTGAAATACAGAAAATTGTCTTTCAGCTATGACAGTAGTGTTCCTGGACTTGTGCTGAAACAGAGCAAGCCTTCAACATCTCTTACCCACTGATTAAATAAATAATCTGAAATTTAGGATCAGATGCCTTTTACCTCACCTCTTCCCTCTGCAACTCAGCCTCTATGCCTTGTGAAAAGCCAGAACTTGCTGAAGAATGAAAGCAAGTGGGACTTCATTGCTAAAATAGTTTGATTGAAATCTCAATGATTACTATATAAAATTTCTCAAAGCTCATTTTTTCCCTTGTTTTTCCTAAAGAAAATTAATACCTATAAAGCTGCTGTATGTGCTGAAAATTTTGAACATTCATTCTTACTGGTCTTGCTTCCTGTTTTCCTCTTATGCTTACTATGGCACCAAAAAATAAAAGATATAGTAAGTTATAAGAAAACATGAATCAGCATAAACTTTGAAGTAGAACCCTGCAAGCAAGGGTTCCAGTTCAATTGGCCGAGCACAGCTGACTTCAAAGGCAAGCACAATATGCTTATTTTACAGACCAGTAATATTTTTATTTAAATCATGACATACCTGCATAAAGAAGCTTTCGAATACAATGGATCTGCTGTGAAACACAAGCTACATACAGAGGTGTTCCTAAATGAGGAAGATCTTGGTCAACATCTATACCCCAGGATATCAGTACCTCCAGACATTCACTGTGACCTGTCAGTACAAAGCATGACAGTTTGCTCGACTTCAGTACGCTGTCCCATGGACAAAACCACACACATTTCATAACCCTCTTGCTGAGACATTGCTCAACTGCTCCATGTTTATTGAGGAGGTAATTTCTTACCTCTGCTGGCTGCTTCATGTGTTGGTGATGGCAGACAGGACTCCCACTGAGCTTTGGCACCGTACTGTAACAGGAGCTCGGCACATGCTGCACTGCCTCTCGAACAGGCGTTAAATAAAGGTGTCACTCCATCAATTGTGGTAGCATTTACCTAGAATATATAAAATCTATTTACAAAAAGAATTGAAAGAAAGGTAGATTTTTAAAGAGGAAATAGTTATAAATTGCATAAAATGAAAAAAAAAAAATAAATGTACTAGTTAAAATAACAAGTTAACTGACCAGCCCCTGTGAAACTGTCTTCCTCTTACCATGCTTCTCATTTGGAATTAGTTTACTATTATTCTTGTTAAACTATGTTGGATAAATACACCTGGAATACTAAAGATTGACATCTGGGCAGTAAATAATTTTAAAATAAAAAAATCATTGCACTGAGCCTGTTTCACTGATACAGAAAGTTTAAACTTTGGGTACTAATGGGATAAAGGGATTTTCTCTCCACAGCTCTGGCAAGAATTGAGGATTACTTGCCATTTTCTTCTGTTTTAGTCTTCAGGTTCAAGTGATTTTTCACAGGATGGAGACAAAGCTAAAAGCATAGGCTCAAGTGTTTTAATAGCAACCTCACCACCTCACTCTTCAACTGGATATTTCCAAATAAGTGTGAGAGAGTAAAGAGACAAAGTAGGTAACTTTGTGGGGGCTAATAATACTAAAGGAAGGGGCAGAAATAATACTAATAATAATAATACTAAAGGAAGGGGCAGAAATAATACTAATAATAATAATACTAAAGGAAGAAGGCTCCTTCCAGGATTCTGGCCTATCCTCTTTCATGCACCCCCTAAACCCAACAAAACAATTAAAAACAGTAAAAATAAACCAGGTGGGAAAATGAAATTTTTTTCTTACAGTTTTTTTATCTTGTGCTACCTGAAGTAGGGAGAAATTGGTTTTGGAAATATCTAGGTATCTTATCTTTTTCTATAATAACACAGACATATTCCACATGGTTCTGAAAACTGAATTTTAAGAACAATAAATATTTCCATTACAAGACCAGAGACCTGGGAAGCTATGCATTTGAACTCTGATGTCAGCAGACATTGCACGGAAAGTGATCTGTAAAGTCCCATTTTCATTTTGGGATAAAAGATAAGACAGCCTATGTCAGGAGTACAGAAAAGAGACTTCGCTTTTTCCTACTCAGACCAAAGAATTTTAAGACCATACAGGTGTAGTGTGACAGCAGGTGTTCTGAAGATTAAAAGAACAGCCTCCTAAAAACCACTCAAAGCAAGAGGAACCAAGTAAAGCAGAGGAATGCATTCCATATTTTAGAAGAGAAATATCATAATGAATTTCTGCTAACAGATTCACTCCAAATTGTTACTGTCTCAGTGGCTTCCCAGCACTCTCATTTGCCAGCATTCAGATGGCAGCTGTAATTACATGAGATGAACACAGCCAATAGGATAAGCACAGACCAATTACATTAAAATCAAGGAAAATATCTTTCTCAGTTAAACCAAGGATAGAACTGGACTTCATATAAAAGAAAACAAAACCAAAGCCTTACATTTGCTCCTGCTTCAAGGAGGATTCTTGCACATCCTACATGATCTCCCAGACAGGCTTCATGGAGTGGAGTTACTTGGTCAATTGTTAGTGTGTCTACATTGTATCCCTAAAACAGATGTAAATGGTATTTAAAGATCATACAAAACCTATTAAGAGCCATTTCCTCATACTACTGTTCAAATTAATAGTTTACAATACTCTAACTAGGCTTAAAACTCAACTTGCAATAAATTAATCCTCAGGGAGCATTTATTTTTAATCAGGAATAGGCATAAAATAATGCCGACTGTTTAGATGCTCAGTGACAGGGCAAAAGGCAACAGACCCAAGCCAGAACATGGAAAATTCCAAGAAGCTTTGTGGAAAAAAAATTTAACTGGGGGACAGTGAAACCCTGAAACAGATGAGGGAAAGGATGGTGCATCTCCACTCTTGGTGGTCTTTAAAACCTCACAAAGACCTGAGTCTAAACTCTCCTGTGATTCTATCATCCTGTGACTTAAGGTCTGAAATATCCAAAGCTATGAATTTTAGCAAAGAAAACACTTACTGGATTGAGAAAATCACCAAGCCCTCTAAATTTCTTGGAGTAGATGTTGTTTGATTCTTAAGAACTAACAATTTTATCTACCTGTTTTCATCAAATGTATTATGGTATAATTTCTCAATATTGAAATAGCTAATAGGACAATATCATAATATTAAAATTCAGCATTTACAGTCTATCCTTTTGATATTAGCTTTTTTTTTTTTAAATTACAACAATGCAAAACCCAGAACCTTTCATTGATTCTTCCTGTTAACTGGTATCTTCCTGACTATTTACCCAAAGGCTTAAATCAGTGAAACTATATTGATTTATATCATGAAAGAAGGGAAGACTGACACAAATTTCGATACAATTTTGTTTTGTGTGTCTGGAGTGTTTTTGAGTTTTTTGGGGGGAGAGGGTTAAAACATACAAAGGAAATATTTTAAACACTAGCTTATATCTTTATAATATGAAAAATTTCTAAATATGTATTGGTCTGAAAAATTCAAGTGAAAAAAGCAAAACAAAGCATAGTAAATCTGCATTAAGAGTCTCTGCCGAGAGATTAAATAACATTCATGAAATAACAAAATAAAAGCAATTGTAAAAACAGAGTCTTCACCTGTGACAATAAAGTCCTTAGAGAAAGAAGACGTCCTTGACTGGCTGCCTCATGCAGAGGTGAGCGATCTGCCCAAGAACCTATATAATTAACAACATTTATTGAATAAGCCATATCAATTAGAAAGGGTTTGGAATGTACAGAGCAAAGCAGAAAATATGATGCACAGAATGAAGTCAAATGTCCTATGAAATTAATTTTTCCTCTTTAGAAACTCAAATGATTAGTTTCTAAACAATAAAAAAGTGCTCTATTATTAATTGTAAATATCTCTAATAAATCACTATGTGGTTCACAGAACAAAATATTGAGATATTGATATCAGTAATATGGTTGAATAAAATCATTAATTACCATATTCCACTTCTGTTTTTGCATTGTTCATTTTTAATACGCATAACAAAACTTTGTAGCTGGAATATAGGGATTATTTAGACTTAAACCAGACAAAAAGCTGCCTGAAGAAGTTAGAAAGAAGCTGGTTAATATGAAAAGCAATGTGGGAATCTTTATGCATGGTGAGATTAATTTGAAGCTACTACACAAGTGCAAAGAGAGAAATACAGTGAGAATCACAGTAAAAAATTATTATAGTAGAAATAAGATACACAGTCTCAGTTCTCATTCCATAAACTATTAAGCCTAGAAATAATTAGAGACGTTTTCTGTAAAGGTTTGGCCTTTATTTTCATTTATCACCCCCAAAAGAGAAAGGTGAAAAAATAATAATAACCCAACAACAATCCTGCATTCACACACATAACCCTCCATAACTCCCAACCCAGCTTCCAGAGACATCCTGAAGCTCTTGCTGAAGGACCTGCCCTTTCCTCTAGATGACTGCACACTGACAGGACCCTTCTAGCCAGCCAAGGTTGCAGGCAGACCTGATACTGATTTGTGGCAGGAATTTTGAAAATTCAGTTTTGAGAGGCTGTGCAAGGAAGAAACATCTTCAAAATGTATTATGAATTTTCAGTATTTATTCCTCTAAGAACAAAATCGCTAGAACTGTAAAATACTAATGCAATCACTTGTGTGAGTTATATCAAGCTGCCCAAAATTCCGGAAGAAACGTAGAGAATTAGCCTGGAATGCTGAATTGGTAAGACTGGCAGGTGACTCTTCCACGCGTGCGGGTTTGACTCTGCCAGGGACAGGGACTGCCTACAGAGCCAGCCGCTGCATTTACTGACAACCCAATGCATCTGAAATGTGAAGGCTGTTGCTCAATCACTGGCAGTCATCAGCCCAAACTCTAAGATAACTACACCCCAGAAATAGACCCTATTTCTGTTTCCAACTGGACTCCTTCTGTTCACTAGCCTATTTCAGAAACAGGCTTTTGTTTACTATAAACACCCCCCTCAGATCACATCAAGAATGACAAAAACATTGAGGCTGCTCAACCTGAAAAGAAATCAGGGCCTAGCTAAAAACATATGAAATGGTACACAATAGGAAACTGTAGATAAAACCTCCATTTTCCCACTGGTGTTAGTGAATGAGGCTAAAACTTACACAGACGTATGACGGCATCTTGGAGAACATAGTGCACTTTGCGACTCAGCACTACTGAATACTACTGAGAGCAAAAACTTGGCAAAACAAAAGCAAAGATGATTATTTAAATTATCATAAGACTACATAGAGCTGATCACAGAAGTTTGAAAGTATGAGAGGAAGATTTTATAAACCTGACTTTAAAAAAAACAGTGAGATTTCTATTATGTCTCTGTTATATTCTATGATTTTCTCTGGATGACTGCTGCAAAAAATCCCTCAAGTTTAAATCTGTATTTAGAGGTTGCTTTTGGTATTTTTGCCCCCTTTCTCTATAGATGAGAACATCTCTCTCTTGACAGCTTATCCTACTCAATGGAAAAAAAAAGAAAAAGCAAGCCACTTAACTGATTATATGGAAAAACATCATATAAAATCGTAAGAATTTTGTAGCTTTTATGCCCATTAAATACACTTACTTTTCAGACTTTTTTGTAGCCATGTATAAACACAACAAAGATGCAGGAAGGATTTGAAAGCAACATTTTTTCACCTTTATTTCCTTCACCTCCTTCCATCTTGGATTGATTGGAAGAATGTCTATTAATTACTCCAGTGACATTTGATAATCAAAAGATGCCAGATCCTGTTGTAAGCTCTGGTTTGTACCTAGATCCAACTTATATCCCTATCATCAGGATGAGACATTCAGCAGCCAGTTTTTTCTGATAAATCTATAAAATCAAAATACCTGTGTCATCTCTACTACAAATAAAATCTAAAAGCAAAATGTTGCAGAACTATTTTGTGCTGACCGAGTTTGAAAAAAGAAAATTCATATTCCAACTAATTTGTTGATACAGTAATTCATCATTAAATACCACAGGGACATATTACACAGGGAATATGTTCAACATAAATATTTACCATAAATAAACATCAAAGGTGTTTTAAATTCTTTGCCTAGATTACTGCCTTCTGCTAATCTACAAATTACAATGTCTCTCACTTATAAGTCATTAGCAAAAATATAAATGCTTTCATTCATTGTGTTTGTAACAGCAGTATTAGCAAACACAGTCTATTCCAAAATTGATAATGCATTAATTCCCTATTGATACTGTCTCTGATAATGCTGAATACAAAGTATTCAAACTGTATACAGAAGCCTCATTAGTTTCAAGTTCTCTGAGGTATAGTTTACCAGAAAGGCAAACTATTACAAAGCATCATTGCTTTGTAAGTATTAACAAAAAAGAATAAATATATTCACTGCATTAACAGGTGAAGTTAAAAAAAAAATTACAAATTATTATACAATACCTAAATCTCCATCTCCCCATGGCACTTCCAGCCAATTGCAATTATAAATCCTACTCATTTCTTTCAATCTGGAAAATAAAAAAAAAATAAAACAACAATAATAATAATAATAAAAAAAAAATCTGCTCTGGCTAGTTGGACCTGTCCTTAACACACTCTGGCTATGTTTGGAAGATCAGCAGTTCCCTGTAATACGAACTTTCAGCCTTCAGTAAAGATAGCTTTGAGTATATGAGTGTGTACAAATTGTCGGTTTCTTAGGGTAAAAGTCTGCTGCTCTTTTTTGCCAGTTTTTCACTTTTCTTTCTTTACTATACAGCTTCTCAAAGGGGCAGTATCTGTGCATTGGCTTTCCAAGACATTAACTGGAATTTCAACAGAAGAGAAATTCACAATGAAATCAAGAGAACCTTGACATGATTAAATTGAGGGACAAGCTCCTTCTTTTTTAACCTCATTCAAAGAGATACAGTTTTGTATCCTCAAAAATCAGTACCAGTGCATAGATTTTAAGGGAGGCACTGCCAAATATCCCTGTGTTATTTTACTACTTACTCATAATACATCTAGAAAAGAAAAGCAAAGATATTCTGAACACATTTCAAATGCTGTTTGTGCTGCACCTGAACTATGTTTTTCTTTTAGTAGTTCACTATTCCTTCAGTTACGTTCTACAATATTCTTTGGTTGTTGAATTGGGGCATTGATAGCTATTCTCAGCAGTGAAAATGTCCAAAAATAGGGCTTTTCAGTTATGACTTTGATTCATTTCTAAGTCATTAATGTTACTTTCCTCACGTTTCCCTACAGATTTCACTCCTTTACTTCTACCTGCAATTATCTATAAGTCGTTCCTGCAATTATAATCATAGTAGTAAAATACGAAGTAAAAATAATTTCACAACTGTCTTTACCTCCAGTCAAGTCATTCCTTTTTGTATTTATTTCTAAAACTTTGTGAAGTCTCCAAAAAAAACCCACCAAAAAGCAACAAAACAACCCAAACTCAGTATAAAAAGTACATTAAAGGTTAGATTTTCAAAAGCAGGACTGCAATGAATGAAGTTCTTCTCGCTGACTTCATTGGGAAAGTATTTATACCAGAACTCAGCCCTTTAAAAAATTACTGCTCTACAGCTAAATAGATCAAGGCCCAGTCATCAGAAGAAGCACTATCATCAAAAAAGACCTGAAAATAGAATCCTGACACAGCTCATTACTGGGAGATGAGAAACACAGAGTATTTGAAAGGCATCATAGCTAATATTTATTTCTGCAAAACCAATAAATGTTGTGTATTAAGACAAGCACTGTTCCCTTTTATTTTTTAAGATGGATTCTAAGTGCTTCAGCTTCTGGCAACTGAAGCAACAGGCAGGATGAATAACTAAAGAGAAAAACTCTGCAACAACAGAGTCCCAAGATCAACAGAATCACTCCAGTTGTTGAGAGTGTCTGCTTTTTTGTATATCTAATTAGGTTCTAACAGATTTTTACTGTGGCACTATAAAATTACTCATTTGTCTAAATCCGTTATAAGATAAAGAAGCATGTCATCTACTTAATTGATATGTGATGTTGGAAAACTATTGAAAAAAATCTTCAATGAAGGATTTAAACTTTAAAAAATACATCTATGATGCTTAATTACCATATTTACATATGACCAAAAAAACAGAAGCCACTTTTTTTTTTTTAATAAATGAAGTTTAAGCACTGAAAAATTCCAAGAGAATCAGAATTTAGGCTAGAGATTATTATAATATGTCTGAAAGAAGAGATGTAGTTCAAGTGGAATTTATATGTCATTTCAATATGTCAACTAATCTGAAAATTCTCTAACTATATTACTTAATGTATATAAATACATATATATTCATACAATCAATGAAAACTTGATTGGCTCAAACCAGTATACTTTTTATATACTTTATATGTTTATCATAATGTAGACTTTCACAATTTGCAGAGCTTAATGTAAATGCTAACAAATTCCTACTCCTAAGAGCCATACATAACAAATCTACCTTCCCACACAGTTGTGTCTCTAATGAACCTGCACCACATGACTACACATTAGTTTTGCCATTCCAGTGTTGTATTTGGTGAATAAGTTAATTCAAAATTTTTTCTATCTCCATATCTAGCAGGATCCCTTTAAGACATGTCATCCAAATGATAAAATCACTGTGAAATTGTTAATTTTCTACTGCCTTTTTCATGGTATTGTCCCCATAACAAAAGAATACTTCAA